ACACATTTGAATTTGAATGCGCTTTCCTCATTGAACCTTTCAGCCAACCTATGGAAGAGGTGCAAGACTTATCCATTACTTCAAGACACCTTCTACATAAATAAATACATATTTTTTTTTAGTTCTGCCTGAAAGTTAAACACTGAGCTCCCACCAGTTTTCAGACAGTTCTAACACAGAAGAAACAGGATGAATTGAGGGTAAGTTTAAGCAATGCTTCTTTACCATGTGTAACAGCAGAATGATACAAATCCATACTACTTTGCTTTTAGAAACTCTTAGACATGCAATCCCTTGTTTCATTTTGGAAAAGCAAAGCTTCCTTAAAAACACAAAGTGTCATTATTAAAGTTTAATAAAATAAAACCAGGCAGTTAATTTAATTCAGCAAACCAGATGTTTGCTCTATTGCTGTGCGCATTAACAGGATCACTGGAAACACATCTCACTGGACAATTATTTAAGTGAAAGGTTCCATTTAAAATCTTTTTAGCATCATTTATTTCTAACAGCAATTTTGACGTTCTCAAAACGCAAAATGTCCTCAGAAAGATTTTCATCTTAGGATGAGTTATTTTTTTTTCCCCCTTTCACAGCTGTTTGTAGTCACTGCAGGGATTTGGAATTAGGCTCAGTTTTAAACAGAGAAACTTCTACATATCAAGAACTGCAAAAGGATTTGCATTCCCACTAAATAAACTTTTGTATAGGGAATGAACAGAACAAGCTGTGGACACAGTCTACCTTAAACCTGGTACCGAGCTGTGGGTGGCTCCATCTTTGCTCCCAGGAGCCACGAACACACCCCACGCCGCTGGGACAAAGCTGTGACGCCCCCTTTGCTCGCTGTTAACTAACACCTTACAACGGGCTGCAGTCCATCCCTACCCAGTTTATGCCTTAAACGTGGTTTCAAAGGTCCTGTGAGAACAGACGCTTCCCAGGGACCATACCGAGGGCAGAGCATCCTCAAAAGTCTTTTACAACCAGGTCACAGCTCAGAGAGACTAGAGCCCAGGCAAACGTAAAGCATTGTTACACAATTCCCAAACCCTTCCTTCCTTCCTTCCCTCCCTCCCGCACGCCACAGCCTCACAGACGGGTGCACTCGCTCCCTGCAGTACTCGGGAGATCTGCCCTCCTCTAAATATATAACAATATATTTCAACTTCGCAGGGCGGAAACAAGCCGGCGTTTGTGCTGGATCCTCCCTCTCACAGCCTCACGGAGCAGCCGCGCCCCTCCCCGGGGACCCCTCACCGGAGCTCCAGGGCCGGGCCGGGCACTGAAGTCCCGCGGGCGCTGCCCCAGCTTGGGCGACCCCGCCGGGGGCGCACCGCGGCCGCTCCCGCCCACCCGGCCCAGCCCCGGAGTGCGGCACAAGGGAACTGAGGCACGGCGGGGGCACCGGCCCTGCGCCGGCCCCGGCACCGCAGGGACGGGGCGAAGAGGCCCCTCAGCAGCGACACTACCCCCCTCAGACAGCGCCCTCCCGCCCGTCCCTCAGCCGGAGCGCCGCACCCCCCGCGACCGAATAAAGCCCTGCCGCGGGCTCCGCGCCGCCGAGCGGCTCTTCCTCCCCCCCGAGCCTCCCCCGCAGCCGAACCTGGAGCTAGGCTTGGCCGGCTCGGCCTCGCCGCCCTGGAACATGGTGGCCCTCGGCGCCTCCGCTGCCCGGCCCCGCTCCGCCCGCGCCGGGGGAGCACCGGCCGGCCCGCCCTGCCTCGCGCTTGGCTGGAGTAGCTGCCCATCACACCCAACAGCCTATCGAACGAGGCCCGCCCTCCCCTCATCCCGCCCCCCTGGTCGACCCTGTGGAGGGAGGGAAGCTTGAAACAAGCCGCGCCATCGATCCTCCTGGCTGCCTTCTATTGACTACATCGCGCGTCCGTCAGGGAAACCTACGCAGCCATTGGTTAAAGACGGGCGGGGGGGCGGGCAGCGAGAGGCCATTTAAAGCGGCCGCTGAGGGCTTGCGGCAGCGCGCGGGGGCTTGGTCAGTGCCTCAGACCCGCAGGCATTTCGCCTCGAACCGGCGGGGCAGAGCAGAGACCAGGAGGGAAGATCATCATACGGAATACCCTCAGAGAGGATTTCGCGACTCGCTGCCTCTCGGCATCGTCCCCGAGCTCAGGGACACGCGAGCAGCAGCCCCGGGCCCCGCAGCCCTCGGCAGCCGATCGGGATGCCTGGAACATCCGCGGGAGATTTAACGGGCTCCAGGGAGCGGAGCGGGAAGGGCACCAGGGCGCTGCAGCACGGGCAGTTTACTCAGTTGCTGGTCATTACACTTACTGAGGGAGCTCAAATATGTTTCCCCTCTCGGCAGGGAACCAAGTCCTCTAAACTTAGCAAAAAAAGATGCAGTGACCCAGGCAGAGCTCCCAAAAAGACATGCAAAACATGCCAAAAGCCATGTAGCCACCCGGGCTTCATGCCGTAGGGATTGCCTGAACCTCTCAGTGGACTGTACAGAGATGGCAGCAGATGTGAGCAGGCGGATGAACTGCTCAGCCTGGAAGCAGAGTTATGAGACAAAGCAGAAAGGTTGAGAAGTATTAGAGAATCAAAGAGGGAGACACTCTCCTCTGGCCTCCCTAAGACAGGAGCAGCCACCAGGAACAACTTCAGATCAAGGGGATCCTCAGTCCATCCCCCAGCAAGGAGCAGATACCAGCTGTGAAGGAAAAGTGGAATGGAGAGTAGTCCATACTCGAAGAAGAAAGCAAAATCCTTTTTCACCCACCTCACTTTCCCCTCACGATATTCTCATAGGCAAGAAGTGTGAGTTGGTTGAGTGGACAGTGGGTTGGATTGAGAACTGGCTGAGTGGCAGATCCCAGAGGGACATGATCACTGGTACAGAGTCAGGTTGGAGCCTGTCACTTAGTGGTGTCCCCCAGGGCTCTATGCAGGGCCCAGTATTGTTTAACTTGTTCATCAATGGTTGGATGAAGGGGCAGCAAGTTTGCTGATGACACAAAGCTGGGAGCAGTGGCTAATACCTCAGAGGGCTGTGCTGCCCTTCAGAGGGACCTTGACAGGCTGGAGAGATGGGCAGAGAGGAACCATCTGAAATTCCACAAGGGCAAATGCAGGTCCCGCACCTGGGGAGAAACAACTCCAGGCACCAGTACAGGCTGGGGGGGGGGGGATCTGCTGGAGAGCAACTCTGCACAGAAAGACCTGGGGGTCCTGGTGGACAACTACCTGTCCTTGACTAGCACAGTGCCCTGGGGGCCAAAAAGACCAACACTTTCAGCTGAAGGTTTCATTTCATGGCTCCACAGCTTTCCATACATATGCCAAGTAAATTTAGAGGCATAAATTTAGCAGCATACTTTTGTCTCGAAGGATTAAAGAAACCCAACCAAACAAAACCAACAAAAAAGCACCAAAATATGTACTCTCACTGCAATGTCTTGCTTTGTTTCATTTCTTGTGATGCCTTAAGCCCCTAATGGCTTTTTATTTTTCTAATATTTGTAAGCCGTGTAAGTTTTATAAGTAGATTTTAAAAGCAGCAACCCTCCCTCCCTTGTCCCTTTCCCCGTAGCACCCTTGTTTACACATTCCTTAACCCTCTTACCCCATTCTACGCTCCCTATATCACCCCTACTCCCGAATCTAGTAGAAATGTTTAGTCTTTTGTCAAGGCAGGGCCTAGATTGTTGGCAGAACAGCATATCAGGGCCTGAACAACAAAATGAAGTCAAGAATTAGGTAACTATGTACCCCTTGTGCTCTGATGATGGTGAAGGTGATGAAGTAGGTGGTCCTGAAATGCACCCCAGACCCATTTTCCGGGGTTGGACCCCGGGGCGGTCCAGAGCAAAGGCCACAGGGTGGACACATCTGGGATTGGATGGATGGTATTATAAAATGTAACATCTCAGGCACGGCCGGTGCGCGTCTTGTAGCATCTTTAGCCTTGGCAAAATAAACCCTTTCTTATCTCACCCCTAATTAACTGCTCCGGGAGATTTTTTCAGCACCTAAATCCCACAGCAACACTTGCTTTGCCACTCTTCCGACTCATTATTTTTTTAGTCTTCAGTTTTAGTCATTAAGGGCAAAATTAGCTCATTTGTGAGAAAAGATTCAGTACCAGCCTTGACATAAGGTGGAAAAGATTTAAAGGTCTCTTATCCTGCTGAAGGCTCGCAGTCTGTGGAGGGGAGAAGCTGCATAGAAAGAGCTCAAACCTGGTCATAGTTCAGTTTTCTTAGTAAACAGATGGGAGAGACAACTCCTCACTCTTTGGATGGGAAGGAAGCCTCAAAATATTACTGATAAGGCTTTTGTTGAGCTTTTCAGAACATTTCTTATCAAGAACACACTTGCATTTCTCAATGCAATGTTAAAGCTGCCTTTGTATGTTACAGAGACCAAAATGCTAAAGGTGTACAATCCTCTTTGGGCTTCCTGTTCCTCAGTGTCCTGGGGTAAAAAGGTGTTTCTGGTAGTGGTTTTATAAAACATGATGGCCTAAAACCAACTTCCACAGCTGAGTTCCTGCTTATCTGAAGCTGTCAGTGGAAAAAAACCCCAAACCAAACCCCAAGATATACACTACCCTTTTATTGTACCCTTTTTTGTGGTGGTAGTTGGGATTTTTCTGGTGTGGTTTGTTTGTTTTTCTCTCTTTCTCCTCCTTGTTACTGATGCCCATGGCCCAAGACAGGCCATTCAGGACAGCCAGTCCTCTTTGCCACCTTTCTAACACTCACCATGAGCAGATGCTACTGAGAATGGAAGCTATCAAACAAAAAAACCCAAACAACCAAAACCTTCTCTGCCCATGGTAAGAAGCACTAAAATTCTGGGATGGGAGATGCCAATGGGAGTTATGCCACTGATTTCACTGCAAGTAGAATTTCACATTTGAAGGCCTGGCCTTATAGACAAATTTGAGCCCCCACCCCCCATTATGAAGTAAATAAAGGTTAAATGGAAAAATCTAAGAGGGTATGAACAGCAAGGAACACACTGGACGTAAGTTAGACCAAGTATTAGTATGTATTTATGCACAAGAATAAAAACAGCTTTACAAGTTGAATTGGAAATTTAAACAGAGGAAGTTTAACAGCTTTTGTATATTATATTAAATAACCAAAACACCTTTTTCCAAAATTGGTAAAGAATAAATAATATAATTTACAATATGGTACAAAAAATAATCAGTAAGGACAAGCATTCTGCTTTATACATACACTATATAGGTATATTTATAATCTATAAAACAAATTCACATCTCAAACAAGCCAGAAACCTTAGATGATATGGCTTAACTATTATTAAAAGAAACAGCATTAAATTTTGCTGCCAGAACCATAAGCTCTAAAGCAGTTATCATGTTTCAATAATTAATGATAACTTATTGCCGTAGTGCTTGCCAAGGTTTCACTTAGTTAACATTTACAAATTGCTGTGAAATTAACAGATTCAAAGGTTTGAAAAGGTTAAAAAAAAGTGCAGTACTTTCCTTATAAATGCATCCGAAGTCTGAATGTAGAAAACAAAATGCAACTGAATTTCCACTCTGGGATCTGCAGTCGGTAAATGAGATGTCTTTGTAGGTTAGATTTGATTCAAGCCACGTAATTCAATTTAGAAATATAGGGGGGTGTCAGAAAAAGGCTGAACAATGCCATATGAAAAACAATTAGTATTCCTATGCTTAGTAGATTTAGTGATATGGGATAAAATGAATTGTGTGGATGAACAGGATGCAACACCCAGCAGAACCTCCGTCAGTGTGTGCATGACCGGGTGGACCCAACCCCTGTCTGTGACAACAGACACTGACGCTTCTGCCATTCACCTCATCAGCTACTCAGAACTGCCTGATGATAATCACTGAGAGGGAAAAGCCTAGACCTGGAGGCTGTTAGTGTCCATTTGTCCTCTCCAACATCCACCTCACAGTGCCCTGGAAACAATACTCTCCACCACCTCGCAGTACCTCAGAAACAATCCCATGGCCATTTCACTGTCACTTGCTTGGATTTTGCTTAAGCTGACATTGTCCCATACACAGATTTTCTTACTGCTGGTGGAGAAGCTGAAATAATTAGAATTGAAAAAGTTTTCAGTTTTACGAAAAAACCCCCCTCCCACACGCACATACTTATGTGTGTGTGTGGATACACCCCCCAGTTTTTCACTTTGTCTCAGGCACAAACTGATGATGACTACTATTTTAAAGCACAGCCACCTAAAATCTAGAGCTGGTCGGATCACAGATGTGTTTAAGTGGCCTTTCACACAGGAAGGGTAACAAATTCTGCATCAAATCAGAATTGCCACAATGATCTCAATTATTGTTAATTTTTTCCCTGGTAAAGACTTGTCCTAAAAGAGCTTCATTCTTAAACTGAAGTTTGCAAAGCATTTCATTTCTGAACTCAATTTCTGAACTTCATAATGCCAACTTTTAAGGGGCTGATGCCAAACACATTTCTAACCCCAACGCTCTGAGTGCAGAACCAACCCCTGTCATTTCCACTCTGTTACTACTGGGTGGTCCATGCCCACTTGCAAAGGTTCAAGGTATTAAAAGTTTTCTGGCATCATCAAAAATAGCCACTTCTGCTGCCTTCATTCTGCAATTGTGTCCTTCTCCCCTGGGAACTGAGTGGGCTGAGCAGGAGCTGACAGCTCCCTGTGGCACAAAAAAAAGCCCTCCCAGATCTGGATGGAGTGCTCTGCTCTCCATTTCAGCGGCAGGTGCAGCAGAGCCAAATCCACTGTCACAGCCGCTGCACTGCCAGCATCAGTAGGGAAGATAAAAAGTTTGTCAGGATACAAATGCACTGGAGACCCTCATGCTGGTCTTGTGGTATCTAGAAGTTTAAGAATGAGAGTTCATATTTCTTTTTATACAGTACTTGATTAGAACACATCACATTTCCTCCTGCATATTCTGTAATCCACAGCCACAGAAGGTGCCCTCTACTTTTGTCCTACAAATCTGAAGGATTTTTTGAGACATAGCATACAGGAAAATCAGCATGAGTAATGTGAAGACCCAAAGCCAAGAGGAAACAACCTGGGAAAGCCTGGACCAAAATACAGATCAACTCCAAGGAAAACTGAGAACTTTTAGTGGGAATGACTCTTGATATTAAGGCGGTGTCCTCTCCATACCCAGGGGTAATGCTCAGAACGAAACAGGCCCCAGCATTCATTTTTGTGATAGCCTTCAACTTTTCCTATTCCAGGTTCATGTGATTTCCTGATAATTGCATCAAACAAGGGTCTGTAAGAATAATGAAGGAGAAATAATGACAGAAGGACTCTGTCTCACAGAACCTACAGTCAGGGTGGGAAGTCAGCCCACAGCTATGAACTTCTCCTTTCTTCTAGTCATGACCTTCCCCCTTGCTAGTGATAGAGGTGTGTCCTCCTGCTGGCAACATCCAACTGTACTCATGCTGGGTTTACACACTGGGTGGCTCCTGTGTCACAGAGCAGAATGCAGCAACCTGGTACGTGGGCTCTTGGAATGTCATCCAAATCTCACCCCTTTCTGAGTAAACAGGAAGGTTGCTCTGGGCCACACAAAAAGTGCATCAGAAAACTTGTTCCATTTTCTCCTAAAGACAGAAAACATAAGGCCAACTCCAGAGCAGCTAAAAATCATCTGCCTAAAGCAGGGTGAAGGGACTGGGCAAACAACAAACACAGTCAGTGCATCATGAGCAAAGTTACAAGAGACTCCCAGTCAAAGAAATGCCTTGTACAAGTAGCTAAAGGCAGGCAGAACTACATCCACCAAGTATAGTGCAAGTTGAGAAATGAACCCCTGATAATAGCCTAAGGGATAGAGAAGGTTTGTTTATTTATTAATAATACAAAGTTGAGGTTTATATAGGAGCAGCCCCTTGGATAAATTCAGAGCTACTCAAACCAGCCAAGGGTCATTCTCTAACTGGAGAAGCAGACAAGTGCTTAAAAAAGGGGCACAACAAGGGTATTCTCACTCAGGACTGGCAAGAAAGGAAATAGGAAAAGTCTCCTGAGTTACAAAGCTAGAACTGACGGACAACCAGCTCTCCAGAAAGTAACCTGATATCCTGTTGAACCCACTGCAATCAGGATCTGGGTCTTTCGTACAGTAAAACACAACATTAAATGCATAGGGATTTCAGAGAGGGAGTGCCAGACCCACTCATGCCTGGGAGTGACTGTAATGAAGAATGATGCCCTGAGGTATACAGAGCACCTGGAATTCACAGAGCAAGGAGGAAATAAGGAAGGACTAAGGGATTAAGCTAGGACTTGACACCTCTCCTCTTCATGACACAAAACTGATTTTAACCACTTTAGCGTTAACCTAGTATTTGTTCCTACACATTACAATATTCTTTCCTATTTCCTCTCCCAGGTAAATCCTCAGTTTTTGTGAAGAAAGATGGCCATATTTACAGGTTTCCAGCAAAGCCAAGAGTAATTATGACACAGCTTTCCTAGTGTAACCTCTTTTGCAGTGTTTCCCCGACTTAAAAAGGAACCGTTCTTCGGGGAAAGTAGGAAAGCACTCTCCCCACTCACAAGGTGAACTGTGCAATGTGCTGAAGAGTCTCAAAGGTGAAGAATGTGAGTGTAGTCAGGGTGATGATGGTTGTGATGTGATGGGGTTTAAAAACAAGAGGATCCATGCAGTGTGGGAGGAGGGTGGACCAGAGCTCCCCTACCAAACAGGCAAGCAGGAGTGAGCCCTGCTGGAATGGTCAAACAGCCAAACAAACAGAACGGTCTGTAGGAACAACATCGAGGAGTGGCAGTGCCCTGGGCAGAGTGCAAGAACTTCAGTTTGACTGACTGATAAGAAGAGTGCCAACTAGGACATCTCAAGATGCACAATGGTTCCCCTACCCACCCCTACCCTTCATCCTCCACAACTTCCACGCGGATCCGAAAGCACGGCATTTTGATCACTACTCAAACAATAATTCATGTAGGGGAGCCTGTGGCAATCCCTTCCCTTCTTGAGCTGCTTGCTTAGGCCATTCCAAAGTACAAGTCCAGGACCGTCTCACAAACCTGCCATCTTACATCACTGATGCAGGGACACATGTAATGTTATTCCATGTTTTGTTGTTCCCCATATATTGCACATTCCAGGACTTGGAAGTACTTCTTCAGACCTTTGAAGCCAATGCTTCTCTGTTAGAAAGAAAAGCACACAGGACAGGGACAACTGGGCCTCAGCTGCTGCTCTCCAACTCGCCCTCATCAAGATCCAGCGATGCAAGCTCCAGCTCAGCCAAACAGTCTGCACCAGCCTGCTGGTCACACCCTCACTGAGAGAGGTCCCCAATTGGGGGACCACCACCTCCTCCATCAAACAGGATCTCCCTGCGAGTTGGCTCAGGTATCGACAGCTCCTGGGCAAGGTCATTAAACCGGGATATGTAATCTATGCTGTTCTCATTCATCATGCAGGCCAGCTGGGAATCCACTACCTAGAAGAGACAGGAGAGAAGAGATGACCTACATGTCAGTGGAAATTTTGCAGAATCAGAGAACTGCTGAGGTTGGAAAGGACATCTTGAGAGCATTTTATCCAACCATCTCACTCAAGAACAGGTTGCCCTGCATGTAGTTGGGCAGGTTTCAAGTACCCCCACGAATGAAGATGCCACAACTCTCTGGATACTTTGTTTCTGCGTTTGACCACCTCACAATAGTTTTCTTGTGTTCAGGTAGAATTTCATGTTTCAAATTTTGCCTGCTGCCTCTTGTCCTGAGAAGAGTCTGGTTCTCTCAGCTTCCTTCCCAGCCTCACCTCGTATGAAAGATACACTTCATCTCACCTGAGTTGAGTTAGAGAACAGCTCTTATCCACAGCTAAATGGAAGCTTCTTAAAAACCCAACCACCCATAGTCTCAGTGGACCTTACCTCAGCATTAAGGTGCACAGGTAGATGCTCTAAAGGCATTACCTCTTTTATTTACAAACCGTGTTTGTAAATAAAACTTGACTCTGCAGGACACTTAATAAAAAGTCATTCAAAATTCTGCCATCACTAAACCCATTTTAAATACTTGCTTTCTCTGAAGACCCACACAAGCCCACCTCTCTCACAACTGCTCTTGGTGTGCCTAACACAGAGGCTAACCCCATTTTCTTCTAAAGGCAGCTGGTAATATCAAGGTCTGCAATATCAGGGTCTGAAACAGCCAAGGACACACTAAATCAGCATGAGTTCACTGCAGCTCCCGATTAAAAGGTCTGTACAGAACCTCCTTTTCCAAATCCAAAGGGCAATGGAGGAATTACATGTTCCTTCCATAAGGCCAGGTCCCCAAGAAGGTACAAGGTATGTGATGTTGCACTGAGGTAATGACTGTAAATTGTAGAATATTTGAGACTGGAAGGGACTTGAAGAGGTCTCTAGTTCAACCTCTTGCTCAAAGCAGGGTCACCTATGAGGAGAGACCAGTTTACTTGGGGCTTTATCGATGTGAATCCTAGAAAGCTCTGTAGACAGACACTGCACAACATCTCTGGGCAACACGTTTTCCCCGCCTGCCTCTGCTCAGGGTGAAAAACCTTTTCTTTAGGTGTAGTCTGAACCTTTCTCAATTCAGCTTTTGCTTATTCCTCTCACCTCCCACCACCACTCTGTGAAGGGCCTGGCTACATCTCCTCAATGACCTTACTGCAGGTACTGGCAGGCAGTAGGGTCACTCCCACACTGAAGCCTTTAGACATCACTGGTGCTTTGACCCCTGGTCACGCTGGTGACCCTCTGATGAACTTGGTCCAGTTTCTCTCTCTCTCTCTCTCTCTCTCTCTCTCTCGTTCCTGTATTGGGTGCTCTAAACTGGTCACAATATTCCAGACATGGTCTCACAGCAGGTAGATTAGATTCTACTACTCTACAGAGTAGAGTGGGTTAATGATCATTTTGTTCAGTATCCTGGCCATGCTCCTGTTAAAACAGCTCCCAACACTGTTGATCACCCCAGGTGCCATAGATGCCCCAGCTCACACTCAGCTGGTGTCTATCAGCATCCCCAGGGGCAGCAGAGCTTCTTCCCAGCCGGTCCCCAGCCCATACTGCTGTGGGATTATTCCTTCCCAGGGCAGGACTTTGCATTTTCCTTGCTGAGTTCCATAATATTCCTTGCAGCTCATTCGTCCTGTCTGTCCCTCTGAAAGGGAGCTCTGTCCTGAAGCATGTCAGCCTTAGTAACTGCTGGGCTTCATTCTACACCTTAAAAGAGTTCAACACAAAGGGACAGCTCTGCCAACAGAGACAATAACTCAGCAGCACAGGACCTTCTGCCATTCTCTCAGGTAACTTTGTATTAGCCATCTCCTGTTTCTTCCTTCTGGACTTATTTATTTTTTCCTACCAGCCCTCCAACTGTACTGTAGCTGCATCACTGTTAACCTTTCTCTTACCTTTAGTACTTTCAGTTCCTGCTCTACAAAGCAGGACATACAGAACAGGACCAAATCTCTCTCTGTCAAAACAAAAATATGCCCAACAGGTGACAATGACCTCCCCCACCAAAAGGAACCTGCTCACAAGAGCTTCTCACACCAGCTCTGATGCCGAGTGCCCTCAGGTCACTTTACATATCTCTTTGTTACGACTCTAGTGCTCTTTTACTGAGCTGGAGCACAGGTGTCAAAGCGCCTTTGCCTCAGAAGTATCTCAGGAGGGTGTGACGGACAGTACCCAGTAACTGCTCTGCAGGAGGAAGCAGGCTCTGAGTGTAGTCTGCTGACATACCTCTGCCACGTCTGCCAGAGACCGCGACACAAAGGAGTCCCGCGAGTTTCCATCTAGCAGGCTGGGTCCCAGTAAGGAGGTGCCACTGGTGTTCCCAACAGGAGTTGGCAACATTTTTCGTCCCTTCTCCGGGGAGATGAAACTTGCTACAAAGAACAGGCACATCAGTAAGTCACTGCACCGAGTGTTTGCAATTGGGAGGATAAAGAGAAGGACGAGGAAGTAGGACATGGAGGACAGATATCCATTTCTTCTCTTAAAAATGATGTGTTACCAGCATGGACACCATCAGCACACTGCTAAGAGCAGGGACACTCATTACACTGGCGCCATGAACTATTAATGAAAAAAAACCCCAGACCAACAACCAAACCACAATCAAACCCAGTGACCTCATGTCTTTGAGACAGTGCTTGCCAAGCACACAACAAGGTCTATTTTTCCATCAGCAAAGCCAAGGGCATCTTTTTGTTTTGGCACAATAGCCCAAATGCCTCACCCTAACTGATGAGTCAGGCTCCAAATAGACTACAAAGAACTTGTCCCAAGGTATGGGTCATAATCTAGCAACGGGATCTTTTCAGGAACAGACTTGCAAAGAGAAAGAAAATGTATTCAGGGCAACACTGTGGAAATGAAAGCAAGAAGTAATGAAAGCAAGACATAATGGAATAATTCTACAAACATCCTACTGGGTTTACAATTTTCCAAAGGATTCACTTCTGATAAAAAGTGCCCTTTTTTTTTTTTTTTTTTTTTACAGGAAAGCACTTTTTGGGCACTTCTCTGCATCTGGACACTTACAGAACAAGCTGCTGAGGGAGGAGTCTGTGGAGTCATTGGGGTACCACTGGGGATCGTGGCTGGGAGATGCAATCCAGTTCTGCTGAGGACTACTGGATGGGGATGGAAGACTTTTGGAACTGTCACTGCCATTCAGCTTTGCAGGAGAGAGAGAAACACCTTCACCTGTAACCAATGTCAGGGGGCACTGATTCAGTCAATGCGGTTACAGGACGCTGCACCAACTTTTGTTTGGAAAGGAAAATAATACAAAACAACAAGCCCCTCATCCATATATGCTAGAAAATAAAGGTCAAGAACAGAATTTTATTTGCAAAACAGATATTAAAGAAAAAAAATCCCAAAAAAACCCCACAACCCAAGAACTGCTTTCTGGAAAAGTTTCTGCTGACATGTAAGATGCTAGTGCTTTGGGATTTTCTTTTAACTTGACAGGCAGACTTTAGTTAAGCTCAGACTTACTGTATTGGCCAGAGCTGATGGCTATTTCAATGATGGAATCACTGATCTGAGTGGCAGGTTCCCCTTGGGAAAGCACATCTTCAGGTGGTCCGGGCAGGGAAATATCCAAGAGAGCAGAAACATTGGGAGGAGAGAGCCGGGTACTAGAAGCTTCTGATGAGGGAAGTGGAGGGGTGGACAGACCATTCTGGAGAGGAGTCTTGGCCAGTTCTGGCAGAGAAAGGACTGATGTGCCCTGTTAACAAGAAACAGAGTTAATTGTTCATAAATTTATGAAGAACTTGGAAATCTAAAAAGTACAGCTTAGCTCCTGAGTATCAGATTAAAACCAGACTTTAAGAGGAAAAAAAATCCAGTAGATAATATTCCTAAATTTAGAGGAATATATTATTTATATAATAAATTTGTATTATTTTCATGAAAAATATCTGTAAGTATGAACAAATATGCTTCAGCCCGTATCCTGCCAAATCATCTGAAAAAACATTCCAAAGAATATTTAAAACACCTACACAACAGAAACAAGCATCTTTGTATAATCATGAAAGTAACATAATTTTGATGAATCTACAAGAGAGTTCCTAAGAAATACGTATTAATTTGTATTTGTATAGGCAAAAACCTGTAACTGCTTGAAGAGTATATAGGTATTTTAGACTGGTAACTCCCTTTTTACTCACACTTTACAGCCAGACTTCCCAAAACTCAACTCATCTTTAAGGAGTCTCATTACCTCATCTCAGAACTGCAATTTTGTTTTTCTGATGTAGTGTACACAGCTGTCCTGAGAGCAAGAACCAGAACCCAAGGCCCCATTACCATAAGAAATGTCTCACAGGTTCACTTCCTAACTTCTGTGCTATAAAAATTTTTCCTCTCCTTTATGCTCTCCAATCAAACTAATTTGATCTTTTTCACATGCAGGTGTCACAGGAAGGGTGGTAAAAGCTTCCACTGAAAACAGAACAGCCTGTATTCTGAGGCTTAAGTATCCAACACCAGGTCCTGGATCCCACTGGAGAGAGAGGCTGGGGACAGGATGACAACACTCCCACAACTTACGTGCTGCCACAGTTACTCTTTAGGTATCTGTCTATGTCTTACTGGAGCCAGCACAAAGAACAGAGATCCTCTGGACAGGATTCTGGCATTGCAATCAGGCTTTTAGTCTTAATATTCCTCCTTCAGCAACATCCAGGCAGCAGGATTGCCAACTGCTGAAACCTCTCCTTGTGATGTCTAAAATACACTCATAGATAGAGCACAGCAATCATAAACTCCTCTGCTCCACCAAGAGATATGTAAAGCCTGTTTGTCCTTCACAGGACAGGCACTGTCAGCCTCACTGTGATTTTAGGGAACAGCACCCACACATATTTAAGCAGCTTTCCTGAATTTCTTTAAATTTCTTCAGATGCCAGGGATTTCATTCCCACCAGACGGTGCCAGTGGCGCACGATTACCTGGGGATGTGGGGCTTAAACCAACAATACCAGTGGTGTTCTCACAGAACATTCCCCACTCCACGGCACTGTTCTCTCAGCACACACTGTACCTGGAAGCCATCGGGGACTGCCTCCTGCTCAGGCCGTGTTGGCAGGTTGATGAACGGTACCCGGCACCCAGGGCCTGAGCCCTGGAACACAACAGAAACCACGTGAGTGACCAGCTGAGGAGGGAAGGGACAATGGCATATCACGGTTTATCCTCTTTATACATCTCACATCTTTTAAAACCGTCCATCAACTCCCTGGGAAAGTGACCAGGACTGACATGGACTAAGGTGTATCTTGGTCGCAATGAAAGAAACAGCAAGGAGAAATCAGAGTTCCCATTCCAAATACATCTCTAAAAGTCCATGTTTTGTGCCAGATTTCCTCCTGAATTAGTCTATTGAAATGCCACCATTTTTTTTTAAAGCCAGATTTCTGGATGGCCAAGTTCAACACTCACAACTGCAAGCCACTTTACAGGATGGAAATCTATCTGCTCAATGAGATGATGGTTTGATCCCTCAACCTCAAATACACACTACACAACACAGGGTGCTTTGCCATGACAGCAGTGTCTACCACCAAGCCCCAGGAGAAAGCTCATAGAGGAGTCATAATAATACAGCTTTTTGACACAATGAAAGAGCAAGACACTTAAGTACTTGAAAAAAGCTCATTTAAGAGCCTCTGACCTCCACAGTGGTGATGGAGCTTCCGTTCTGATGTGCTACTGCTGGCTCCTGCCCTGTCACCACCGTGGGCACCGCATCTGGTGACAATGGAGACACACCTGGCAAACTGTCTGCATCCAGGACAGGCATAGGGCTGCCAGGGATAATGCCAGCACTTTTAGCTGCCAAGTCAATAGCACCTTGTGTGAAACAAAAAAAAACAAAAGCCACATTACAAGCCTTTTCTTCACTTTGCTGTGATTCTCTAAAAGATGATTTTTTAAAATGACCCAGAGGCAAAACTTAACCCACATAAAAAGTGGCAATGGGAACACCTGATCAGCTGGGTCAGCATCTCCTCTTCACCAAGGGTAGCATTGCTTTTAGCTAAAAGGTTTAACTTTTCTGCCCTCTTCCAACCTGTTACCAGGTATATCAAAATAGATGAGACACATTCCAGTTCTCCCCCCACCCTTTCCTCCTATATTTTTGCTTTTTTGTCCTGCAAATTGGTAAGTACTTTGTTAGGCAATTTCTACAAGTTTCCTGTGGGTTACTAGAGGGGCTCTAGAAACAATAGAGCCTTATTTCATTACCTTGCCTCTAGCAGCCATACAGACTCAATTTAAAACACTTAAGTTGTTCCAAGGGTCAACCTCATCTGGACTTTTTAAAATCCACTTCAAACATCTGAATGTCTTTCCATCCCAAATAATCCTCTAGGTAAAACCTAGAGGCAGTTGCTGCTTTCACCTCACTAATCATTCTAATGATGGGACCCACTCTCTGTTGCAAGACAGTTATCTGCCTGGGGGGCACCAGCACGGCTTTTATTGCAGAATTTGGAATGACTTACTAGACAGATGGTTGGTGGCCTGTGTTGGAAGAACTTTGGGCACAATTGGACGAGAAACAGCAGCTTTAGTCAGTGAGGACTGGATTGGCCGAAATGAGCCTCTCCCTAGGGGGAAGGATTAATACCTCTCAGGCAAATGAAATCTAACACCTTTAAAGCAGAGCACAACACAATTCAGTGGAAGCAAATAAATTCCAAGCAGCAGCAAGCCCCAGGAATACAAGTGATGGAGATGATGGAAGAGAGCTGAAATATGATGTGAACTAACCAGTGCCTTGCCACAGACAGGCAACAGCAAGTGCTGCTGTGCTACTGGGGCTGCTCTCATATTGTCAGTGAAGACAACCCTTAATCTCATGCTGGTTTTGATGGGGGATCACCTGTACTACCACACCTGTACTCAAGAGTGTTCCAGCAGAAAAGGACACATGGGCAGTGGATTGATGATATTGTATGAAATTTAGATAGTATGCCAGGTACTAGAGAAACTCCAATATAAAATCTAGACAAATGATTACACACTGCATAACAAAAATTTCTAAGTAATTTATCCCAAATTTTGTCTCCTGGTTGAGAACTCCTTGCTCTTCCCTACCTTCGGTATTGGGAAATGGAAGAAAAAAATTCTATCACAAGCCTGATTTGCTTAACAATGATCCAGGAGAACAATCCCATCATCCTGTGGGCACTGTTCTTTTGACAGGGCATTTTCCTCTTTTTAGAGCTTACTCCTTTATGCAGTTTTAAGGGTCACTTTTCAGACCACAGAAGTGCTAAAAGAGACACAGACTCACCTGTAATGGATGAGTTGGATAAGATAGAAAAGGAACAGACATGCTGGGACGGATTTCCAGATGGCCTGGGGAGCAGTGTTCTCTATGTGAGAGAAACAATAAACCAGAACAGATTTAAACACAGAGGGTAATGCTCATCTTTCAAAGCACAGAAGTTCATGAGACCATCCAGAATCAGCAGAGTATTTCCATGGCATCGCTACCATGCAGCAGACACAGCAATAAGGTCTGTGTACTCTTGATAAAGAAGTTACAGGTAGGAATAATGTATTTTCTCTGTAAACTACTACAAGAGAAAGTTTCCATGTGAAAAATTCTCAGAGAAATGCTGATTAGAACTATATTCCTCTATGATTATACTTGCAGTATTTTTCAAATCTCTCGCAGAATTACAGTAGTGGTCTTAAGGACAGGACCTAGTCTGTGCAAACTGATCTTCCCTTAAAATTGAACAAGTGTGAATTTAGGAGACACCTGTATGTACTTCGGAGCTCTTAAAAAACAGGGAATTGCACAGATCTGAAGATCCCAGGATAAAAAAATTAGTCCAGGGGTAATTTCTGAGTCTCCTACTCTTATACAGAGCAGATGAGACAAAATGGTATATTGGCACTTGGGAACTTTGCTTTCTCCACTAAGTTTCCATTATTTGGGTTTCAGATTTCTTGTTTGCTCCCTGCCTGTCCATGGTGTCCCAGTGGCATGTGCCTTTTCCCTGGGTTATCACAGCAGTCTGAAGGAGGGCAGTGCCTGTCTGCTGCCAAAGCACCGTGACAACAGGCCACCTTTTCCATACGTCTCTTTGCAAACACCATTTTTTCCCCTGCGATCATTGTTCTTTCAAAGTGTGTTATGGTTTATTTCACTACAGAGGTTTATACCCACCACAGTTTAACAGCCACTAGTGAGCAGGAAGCAGGAAAAGTATCTAAAGGGAGATCTTGCTGTAGTAGGGCTGCCAGCTCCAACACTGCCAGCACAGGACAGCACAGGGACACGCTGCCTCTGCCTCAGTACCAGCAGGCCCAGGCAGCAGAACCTGCTTCCAGACAGAGGGTTTTTTATTCTGCCAAACCACCTCAGGCACTGGACTTCTGCTGTTATTGATATTCCTCATTCAGCGAATGTAACATGGCTGGTTACACCAGAGACCAAAATGTCTGTTCCCTCCTATGTTCAGCTTCACTTTTCCAGTGGGTGTATGAGGGAAATTCAATTTTTCATTAGGTTCAAATCACTGTAGCCTTACTGATACCTACTCAGGGAGCAAAACAGGCATTCAAACTTTGCTCTGACCTGTACTACCAACGGCTTCCGCAAGTGCCTGTTCCTTAACTTCCTGGGCTTTGGCAGGAAGAAGTCCGACTGCATCTGGACAAGAACAGGAAATGCATTACAAAGTATTTTAAGCATCCAGACACAGAATAAATTATACCCCCCAGACTCTGTTAATCAGTAAAGTTGACTCTAATTAAGATACTGTGGTTTGTTTCAGACAGCACAATATCCTTTCTGCAATAGTCAGAACATTTTCCACCAAAAACACATTTTTTCTTTATGGAGATAAAGCTTTCTCCCCAAAAAAGGCACTTCACTACTTAACTACTGCAGCTTCCTATGAAGTTCTTACCGAGATTGTATTTGACTTAAATACGTGTTAAAACTAGCTGCACATCAGAAGAGGATCAGTTTTTGCTAAACCTGGCAAATATATTTGCTGGAGCAACTTAATTAGAGAGTGACCAGTTTCATTGGGCTGTGTGATGGCATTCAGACTCGGGTCTGAACAGGTAATGTCAATTCACAGCAGAGTTATATAGTCCAAATCTGACTCAGCTAATACAACGTTAGACTTGAGCATCATGACAAGCACCAAAATCCCAAAATCCCTGCGATACCTCCTGGAAGCTGGCTCAGGCTGCATTTTCCACTCAGTCACCTCACTTACACTGATGGTGTCCAGGTGCTGCCGGAAGGTCAGCTCTGCTTCCTTGCTGGGCAGGAACAGCTTCCCATGGCGGCTGTTGGGGGGCAGGGTTGTAGGGACTGCAAAGAGCCCACTGTCGGCCTCAGTGCTCCCAGAACTTGAAGGACCAGCCACCAAGAGAGGTCTAGGGAGGCTTTTCAAACCTAGAAGATTTTAACAGCAATTCGAATGAGATGAAATGAAAAAAAAAAAAAAAAAAAGGAAGTAACTTTTAGTAACTGAAGGATCATAGGGAGAGCTGGGACTTAGGGATTCTGGCTCTGCCACCAGCTGTGTGTGATCCCAAGTCAGGAATCTCTCTATACTTGAGTTTTCCCAACAGTATTTACCCGCTTCACAGGGATACCACTAACATTCACTTGCTTTGAAATCCTTGGAAGTAGGGGGTTAAATGCCATTTTACACTGCTAAAGTAACTGGAATTGAAGCCCTCAGTTTTCAGCCCCATACAGACTGTGATAACCAGTTTATCTGTTATCTGTTCAGTTTGTAGGAATACTTGAGGGCCTATCCCAGCAATCAAACTATATATTCCCCACTCCTTACGTAGGGGAAGATAATACAAACACAGATCCATTACAAACACAGCATGAATGATTTATTTACACTCCCCACCCCCCTCTTCCCATAGTAATTCATGGACGTGGACCTGCCTCTCTCCACACAGAACACTGGGTTTCCTTACTCACTACAGCAGAGATATGCAACAGTGTTCAGAAGTGTTCTGAAGAACATCAAACTTTATTTACTGAACCAATAAACCTGAAGGTTTTAATTATCCTCCTGTTTAAGATGAAATGGCCACCTCCACCCTGCTGCTCAAAATTCTTTTTTCAAAGGTTAGTTAAAATTTCGGTGTGCTACTGTACCTAAAAATCAACTAAATGCAGAGAAACACATAAATTTGTGCCTCCTGCCTGACCAAATTACTGCAGGCATTTACTAGCAGTGTGTGAAGATACAAAGGAGCTCAGTAATTACTGTATACTACAGGTTGCAATCCAGACCACAAAGAATCCTATTTTAGATTCAGAACACTCTTATCAGGGCTCATAAAAGAGATTCAGTTTGTCTACCAAACAACCCAACCCAGGGTGGGGATCTCAGACTCAGTTACCCTTTTGACACCCTGGAATGTATCCCCAAGGCCCAAGTAGAGTTGCTGAGGGGCTGAACTAGTTAACTGGGTATAACAGTTGTACTGAACACACTTGTACTGCTCCTCTGTTCCCAAAGCACTCAGCTGAAGTGGCATCTTTGATATGTACAAAAGCAGGAATACATAGTCTGTGTTTTCCACTTTGCACCAAAGGCAACCTGCTTCCTAATAATATGTTAAAGCACAGAGCTACTTGTAACCCAGTCGTGCAAATCAAAGACTAACATGGACAATTATATTTGGGTTTGAATCACAGAAGCTCTATTCCAACAGAATCAGATACAAATACTGTTATTTTCTTGCTGTTTCTGCCCAGGATCCTCAGTGGATGAACCTTATCCTTGCTTAAAATGCTTCAGAAAAAAATTTCAAGGCATTAGAAAAGCATGAAGTATAATCTCATAAAAATGAATGTTGCAAACTCAGGAAGTTTGATTCTACTTCAATTCTGACTTAAAAAGATTTTAAAAGTCTTTTGAGCCTGTGGATCTCACTGAAATGCAATTTATCTGTTTGATCTATTAAATTATTGCCTTTTACTAGATATTTAAGTAAGTGTGACCTTGCCTAGAAGTGCAATGAAGCTTTAGACAAAGGTGAAATTGCTATGTCATTTTAAATGAAAACCACCCAGAGCACCAACCAGGTTTTACAGCACCAGTTAACCTGGTCCATTGCTTCTCACAGCAGGGGTGTGAAAAGGACAGCCTAAGAATCACAACTGGTCCCAGTAACCCTAACACCTTCACAGACTTTCCTAAAGTCATAAACATTTGGTGGCCAATGCAACTGGGCTGAAGCACAGAACTGAAATTCTTGGCCTTCATGGCTGGGGCTCACAGGTTACAGCAGCTGTACCTGCTAGTAAAAGAAAAGGTAATTCATAATCATTCTGTATCTTATAATGACAGAATCACAGACTGATTTAGGTTGGAAGGGATCTTAAATCTAACCTAATTCTAACCCCCCTGCCATGGGACACCTTCCACTATTATCCCAGGTTGCTCCAAGCCCTGTCCAACCTGGCCTTGGACACTTCCAGGGATGGGGCAGCCACAGCTTCTCTGGGCAACCTGTGTCAGTGCCTCACCACCCTCACAGGGAAGAATTTCTTCCTAATATCTAATCTAAACCAAAAATGGCAGGATGGCACAGGAAATTTTCAGTAATTATTTATCAACAAACTTTACACCACGTATTTAGTCACCTGCTCCGTGAGCCGATGCTCTCCTGAGATCCCACACACCCTGTGCCCATCAGCTTGTGCTGGTCTGGGCTGGGAAGGAGTTCATTTTCTTCAGTGGGGCGGTTTTGGATTTGTGCTGCAAACAGTGTTGATGGCTCAGGGATGTTTTGGTTACTGCTGAGCAGGGCTTACACAGCCTCAAGGCCTCGGCTGCTCCTCACCCAGCACTGCCAGTGAGGGGGCTGGGGGTGCATGAGGAGCTGGGAGGGGACACAGCCAGGACAGCTGATCCCAACTGACCACAGAGGTATCCCAGACCATTTGGCATCATGCTCAGCATACAAAGCTGGGGGGAAGAAGTTAGGGGTGGACATTCAGAGGGATGGCGTTTGCCCTCCCAAATAACTGTTCCTATGATGGAGCCCAGCTGTCCTGGGGATGGCTGAACATCTGCCTGCCCAGGGGAAAGGGGAATGAATTCCTTGTTTTGCTTTGCTTGTGCGGCTTTTGCATTTCTTATTAAACTGCCTTTATCTCAAGCCATGAGTTTCCTCACTTCTCCTCCAATTCTCTCCCATCCCACCAGAGGGGAGTGAGTGAGCAGCTGCATGGGGCTGAGCGGCCAGCTGGGGTTAAACCACAACACAGCTCCCAAAACCCACAAACACTCTGTAAGAGCAACTCAGGGGAGTCCTCCTGGATTGTGAACTGCATTACTGATGTGCACTGTTATTCGAGATTCAAAGCAGAACTGAATTGAGGACAGTTCTAAAGCAAATTTAACAGATACCAATGTTCTCAGACACTGAAGTTCCTCAGAGTAAGAGCAGTCCTTCTTCCAGTGTTCCATCACTTGGAAGTTCTCATCACCATGTGAGATAGTAATGGGCAGATCTCTTCAAATGGATTTTTGGGAAGACTCACCTGAGGAGCTGGAAGCAGCACCAGGAGAGAAAGTCTTGTTGTTGCGAAGGGCAGACTGATTCCGTGCGCAGCCTGGGCTCCTGGTGCTGATGGCAATCACCTTCCCCGGGGGAGTCAAGGACTGCTCCTCCTGAGCAGGCTTGATAGGGGACGTGGCAACGGAGCTCATCTCGGGCGTCTGCAAATGCACCTTAAATGAACACTGTGCGCTGGTACAACCATGTTTTGTGAAACTCACTCTACTCAGGGAACCTGGAAATGAAAATCTGACTAGGATACCTCACAGGACTCTAAGCAATACCTCTTAGCAGGGCTGTGGGGCAGCTGAAATTCCCTTCCTACCTATTCAGCACTGTTAGATGTCACCAGCTCACCATCATTAATTAAGTTACAATTGGGTTAACACTCAACAACCTTCACACAGTGTGTGCTGGATGACCCCAGGATAGAAAGAAAAAGAAAAAGTGTTGGCTTTAATTCAATGCAAAACTAATCTTCATAAACTCCATCCAGAGGGCTCTGGTGGGAAATACATCTGGACAAAAACATTTTGCTCTTAATTCTAATCAAGTAGAGTTTTGAATTTTCTCCCTTCCCTTCTCCTTCACACTGTAACACAGCACAAACAAGAGGCACATGGCAAGGTGCTTCACTAATTTTCCAGGCCTATCCAGTTGTTTCATTACGTTGTTTAAGCTGTTATCTAGAAATCACTCCCTTTTAAGGAATCTGTGTGCAATCACGGGCTTCAGATTACCCCCTCCACTCAAATGCAATGCCATTTGGCACACTTTGTTTTATGCTGGCGATCTTCATTTACGGAACAAACCACAGCAGAGCTGGCTGTTTGGGCTGTTACAGATTATCTGGAGAAAACAGCAGGGATGCACACAATCAATCCTTCCTCTTAAAATACCCTGTGGCAAAAATATTATGGTTCCTGTCATTATTTGATGAAATGCAACTTTAAAATGGCTACAGTACTTCTAGTGAGGCAGTAAATATCCTCCTGGCCTCCAGAATATCAGTGCCATTACATTCATGCTGCAAGGAGAGCGTCTTCTTCTGAAACACAGCAAGAATAAAGTGGTATTTGATCAATGAAAGGGTGTGTTCCTTCTTTTTGCTGGAATGTATGATATGGTACACATCTGATAGAGCTGCTCTATCGTTCAGTAGCACTGTGCTGCTTTGATTAAAAAGACTGACAGGAAAACACATGCAAATCATAACTGCTGGTTTTTTCTGCCCCCTCTTCTACCTCTCTCCCCCCCAAGTCTCAGGGATGTCCCTCTTTATAGTCTGTAATTGTTTTATCATGTCATGTCTAGCTGTCACCTGTGTCACCAGAAGTAGAAGTAGATGCCAAAAGAGGAGACAGTGTCCCAGATCTGTGAGATGTCAGACCAAAAGCCTTTGCAGTTTAAACAAAGTCTATATGTGGAGCTGGATCTGAACAAAGATGGGTTTAAATTTATAAAATCCTTCATTCTATGTCTACAGAATCAGGATCAAAAGGAGCTTTGATGGGGGCTAAGTCTGCACCAACAAAGAAAGATCAAAGAACTCTGTGTTTGGGAACAGGGATACATTTGCATCCTGGGCTGGAATAGGATCTTAACTCATTGTATCTCCATCACAGGCATTTGAGCAGATCTACTGAACTTGGTGTCTTTTTAAAAGGTGTTTTACTAAGTTTCAAAGGGCTGCACTAGGTGGAAATGGCTGCCCAGGTATCACAGGGCAGATTTTAAATACAGGTTACAAAGCACAAGAAGAAAAGTTTGTTCATTCTCTAAGGTCTGCCTAAGGAAGAAAGTATTTTTCTGGGACTGTTCAACAGCTATCCTGGAGTCTGGGAACTTTTACATATATCAACTGTGGCAGGCACAGTTCTATTGCCTCTGCTATTCCAAACAAATACATTCTTTTCACTCTCACACTTAGTGTAATTTGAACTACACAAACATTGAAAATCAAGGGTTGCAGTTTTCACGCAGAATATTAATCTCAACCAGGCTCCATTTCCCACAAAAGGCTGGACCAGATGATCTTCCAAGCTCCCTTCCAACCTGGGCTGTTCTAGGGTTCTGTGAACCTAAGATAGGACAGAAGGCACCTGCCTCACCTCACCTCACCACTGATGTTTCCAGCAGTCACATGAAATGTTCACTGGACCACCACTGAGAGTCATAGCAAACCAGAAACTAAAAGGCAGTGTAAAAAGCATATTGAAGCAAAGTCCACTCCGTAGCCAGCTGGGTTGTGTTGTGGGTTTTGGGTTTTTTTAAACACAGAAAAGATCTAGACAAGGTTAGTAACTGATTTACTGTGAACACACAAGTGGGCAAAATTATTCCCCAAATCAAACTAGAGTTCAGTATCTGGAGCACAAACAAGAGCTACTTACTGGTTTGGGATTGACCTCAGTAGAGATGAGTTTCAGAAGGCAGTTCAGGAGTCTCTGCTTGTGAAAGGTGGGACACGCAGGGACAGCACTTGACTCGGACATCTGCTCTCTAGCATCCTGGGTTTCTGGCTCCAAGACAGCCAGCCAGTCATATTCCAGCTGCAGCTTGTTTGGTTTGCCCATCATGAGGTAGACTTCAGCCAGCGTAAGGCTCTCAGAGGTTCGCAGACTCCATCCTTCTTCTCTGACCTGTTGGGAGAGCCGGCTCGGGTCGTCCTTGAGAGACTTTGTACTGGATTGTCCCTGAGGTGGAGGTGGAAATGAGGAGCTCAGCTTCTCCTGAGAATCCTCCATTACTGCATCCGTGATATCCTTGGTACAAGTGTCGAGCTGCTGGCCCTGGCTGTGGCTGGCCTGAGTTTCACATCTGGATGGGCCGCTGCTGGGGGAAGCCACACCACCTCTCAGGAGCTGGGAACAGGAGTCAGAGGTCTCTGCACTCCTCCCGTTTGGAAAAGCCACCGGGGAAGCATTACCAGCTGCTGGAGCCGCGTCTTTCCCATGCAGTTTGTCTGTGCAAGAACATTTCTCTGGGACAATTAGGTCCTGGCAGGACTTCATGTACCGTGGGAATGGATCGAGCAGAGACAGCTCCTCCACATCAGGGATCTTGCTGCAAGCACATGTTGTGCTGCACGAGGGCAGCACAGCTGCCTGGTCACCAGCCAGGACCTCCCTGCCCTCCACACAGAAGGCCACTAAGCTCAGCTTTTCCTGGTGCCCCCCTGGATCCTGGAGTCCAGAAGGTGGTTTCTGGATGGAATTGGTGATGCCAAGATTTGAGGCTGTTCCTTCCACCTGGCCAGGCTCTGGAGCACCATCTTCAGTGCTTGCAGAAACTTCAGCTGTGGGCTGCAAGGTTCTGCTGGGCTCTGTAGTGCTCTCTGCCCTCCCCACACCCTTACCCTCTGTTCCCCGCGGGTATTTCAGCTGTCCCCTTGCTGTCCCCTGACTGCTCTGAATGCCCAGGATTTGGGCAGGGGGGAGTAAGTGAGAGTCTTTTGTGTTCTGTTTGCATTTGCCCGTTTCCTGCCAATGCACAGTGCAGAAAGCCTTGGAGTGCACCACTCTGGCTACCCCGGGCAGTGGAGTGAGGGTACAATTCTCTCCTGGAAAGAGATGGAGCATCACTTTCTCCTCTGAGAAGTTGCCTCTTGTTTCTAAGCCTCTGGAGTCTTGAAGCTGCTGTTCTTCTAGTGTTTTACGCTAAAAAGATGTGTCAAAGAATGTAACAAACATCTGCCCCTTCCAAACAAGCACCTGGGAGACTATTTTGTAAGTTTAAAAAAAAAAAAAGTAGTTGATCAAGGATGTGTTCTCTATTCAGCCCAGATACGAAGACACTATAATCAGAAATAAGGTCTTTTTTGTGGTGATAAAGACTACAGCAAAGACCTGCTACAAGCACAAACTAAATCTCCATTGCAGACAGAATTACTTATCTCTGCTTCACACCCCACTGTAATTGTAAAAAAAACCCCAGCCCCAAACAACATACCCCAAACAAAACCAAGCAAAAACTCCAATGTCACTGCACAGCAAAGCAGCCTCTCCTTTCTGTGCAGTAAATTCCACCTTACAGGCCGTGAGATCCTTCGAAATTTCAAGTGATATACTGCTGCTCTTCCAGGCTCACGAACTGAAAAGTCTGAATGAAAGGCCCAAGAACAGGATCAAATAAAACAGTCAGGAGGAGAACAGAACAGCTGTCAACTCACAAATCCTTCTACTGCATGAATCAGAGTTCAGAGGCAGGGACACCCCAAATGCTGTTTGTCTCAGACAGTGCACAGATAACAGCAGCTTGACAAGAAGCTTAAGCCTTCATTGGTGAAACTGCACAAAGTGCAAAGATCTGTCTTAACTCTTTGCTGAAATTGGAAACAGAATTGTCAGTTATTATCCAGGCTCTGTGGGGGTCACTCATTGATAATGAACCAGACTAAGATCACTGTTTGAGGAAATGAAGCAGAAGCTTCATTATTCCTCACTAGCTTTCACGGGATCAAAGCAGAGAAGAGCTGAGGTCAAAGTGGAACGTTGGGGGATCTCCCATGAAAGCTTCTATTAGTAATGCTGAGACTGACCTCTACCTTTATTGAGCAGAGACTCTAAATTTATGAGGTAGATTCACTTTTCTGATACCAAACTGAACTTAGAATCGGAAGGGAACTGCTCCCAGGACACACAGCACATGGAACAGACCGAGCAGGAAAAGGATACAATCCGTACTTCATGGAGAGCCCACTTCTGCTTCAGGAACTCAATGAGGCTGGAGACCTTCCGATGTAACTCCACAATCATCCTTTATGTGAGAGAAACAGAGGAGGGAACAAAACAAATGTCAGCAGCAGTTCAAGTCATAGCCTCAATGCTGGAAGGGGAATTAAGGAATAAACTGGCATTCTATAACACCAGCACAGAGAACACACCTACTGCTCCCAAGCTCTGAGAAAAAACCCCAACAAAACCAAAACCATATGTTATCCCACAACTTTAAAATCTAGATAACTCACATCTACAACAACTCACACAACCTAAAAGCCTGTTAGATAAACCTGACTGTCATGATTCAAGAAACTAGTTTTTTCCAGATGGAAGAAGACAGGAAAAGATGGCAGGATTTAGCTGAACTGCAAAAGTGTAGGCAAGGCACAAAACTACCACAAAGTACAGAAAGAAAGACAAAAAGGGGCACAAAAGACTCATTTACTTTTTGAAAGCATTTCACAAAATAAACCTAATACATTCTTCTGAATGGAGATTTTTATCATGATCTTTGGTCACTACACTGAAGTGTATTTGAGCCATATTTGAAAGAACACTCAACACCATAGGCCCCGTGAGTTCTGGACAAGGTATAAGTACCAGGATGAACAGCCACTGATGACACTGGGAACAGCAGCATCAAAGTCCTTTTGCAACAGAAACTACAGATACCTTCCATGCTGCTCATTTAACTGGTTGCAGGTGCAATATTCAGAGCCTCTGACCACTGTGCAACTTCCCTCCCCTCTGTCTGTGGTATATTAAATACAAATTTTTGTGGAACCAGTGCTACGATCTCCGTTTTCTTTGCACTCTGCTGTGACAATAAGTGGTACAAAGTATATTCATCTCCAAAGCTCCTTCATTACTCAAAAGACATAAAGAACACTGGTAATCTCATTTTCCAGTGTGATAGGTCATGTTTACAAATCATCCACTGTGGCCAGACAAAGGCTTCAGACCAAGTACATTTAGGCCACCTGCATTATCAAAGAGAACCCTGAACTCCCAGGGACCTGGGAGTTTGGATTGAAAGGAAGCTGAAGATGAGCCAGAGTGTGCCCAAGTAGCCACAAAGGCCAATGGATCCTGGCCTGTATCAGGAACAGTATGCCAACAGGACCAGGCTTGCCCTGTACTCAGCACTGGTGAGGCCACCCCTGGAGTGCTGTGTCCTGCTCTGGGCCCCTCAGTTCAGGAAGGACATTGAGGTGCTGAAGCAGGTCCAGAGAAGAGCAACAAGGCTGGGGAAGGGACTGGAGCACAAGGAGAAGAGAGGCTGAGGGAGCTGGGGTTGTTGAGCCTGGAAAAGAGGAGTCTCAGGGGAGACCTCATCACTCTCTACAACTACCTGACAGGAGGGTGTAGCCAGGTGGGGGTTGGTCTCTTCTCCCAGGAACCAGCAGTAGGACAAGAGGGCTCAGTCTTAAGCTGTGCCGGGGGAGGTTTAAGTTGGATATTAGGAAGAAATCTTTTAGAGAGAGAGTAACCAGCCATTGGAATGGGCTGGCCAAGGAGGGGGTGGAGTCAGCATCCCTGGAGGTGTTTAAGGTGAGACTGGATGTGGCATCAGTGCCATGGTCTGGGAACCACGGCGGGGTTGGACTCGATGATCTCAGAGGTCTTTTCCAACCTGGCTGATTCTATGAAGAAAGAGGAAGGGGCTTGGATGCTGCTCATCTATTTCCCTGTTCTAATCTGAGCAGCGTAATCAGTTCTGCTACCTAAGCCGGGGGTTCTGGGCAAGACTCTGCACTCGAGCCCATGCGTGATTATTTCGTGGCTGCAGCTCCACAGGGACCTTGAGAGGGAGTCGTACTGGCTTCTGGTCCTCTTCATCACTCACACCTGAGGGAGATGAAGCACAAAGGGTCAAAGCAAGGACAACTCAGTCACAATACTGTGTGCTCAGTTACATGATAAAATCCACCAGACACCAGCATCGCCTACAGACAAGCCAGCAGCTCAACTTCACCACTGGAGCCTGCTTCCTTAATTACCTTCTGTTCCAATGTGTTTATTCTTATCCTTGGACACTGCAGCGGTACTGGAGATTCCAGCTGTGCAAGCAGTGTCAAAAATCAGGTGGTTGGAAACTTGAAAAAATACAGTATTTCAGACCTTTTGAACAGCCTGATTCTACTTACTTGGGAACAAGGAAGAGAAGGAGAAAAAAACAAACGAAATCACACATAACTGAATGGGAGAAGGTAAAGAAAGATGGAAAATGCTTAATGCTAGACACCATAGTGCTCCTAATTCACTGGCAAAAGGGACTAACCTGCACACACAGTGAAAGTATAGTGGGTAAAGCAGTAGTGAGCTGATCTAGTGTGCTAGTGAGAAAACTGGGTGGGTCCTGAAGTCACTGGGATTATTCAAGCAAACAGGCCAAGACAGACAACAGTGACATATCTGTGCTCAGCACAAATGTGCAATAGCCCAAATTTCCCTGCCAGTGATGGACACACCACAACAAGCCCACTCATTCTCTATTCTTCCAACCATCTGCTAAAACACCCCATGTTCCAGCATCTCTTACTCACCATCTGGATCACAGAGTTTCTTCAAAGCCCTGCACATGGGAGCTTTGATACGCAGGTTTCTGCCTTTGTAACGAACAGTCGTAGCCCTGGTCACGTGGAAAGAGAAGTACTTAGAGGCACCAGTAATAGTTCCTGAATACAGACATATCAGGGACACAGAACCAAACACAATCATGGCTACAGGAACGAACACAGGAATGGAAGGCTCTGCAGTACAGGTTTACAAGAGCATTCAGTCTTCTCTGTCACCTTACTTTTTCACTGTGCAAATGCTACTCTTGTTACCCTCCTCTTCCAGATTTTCATGAAACACTGGGCTGTCCACTCAGGGAGGGACTGCTGTTTTATAAGTGGACCCAAGTGCTACTTGGGTTGAAGAACACCCACACAGACAGCTGCTTCATAAAAGACAAGTGGGTTTGCTTTAGTCTCCCCTTTATACTCCTGACTCTTAATTACGGGAAGAAGAAGTCTGAATTTCCATTCTTCCATATTTCCATTTTCCATTTGGAAATATCCCCAACTCCTCTGGTGCAGTCAGGAGGTCTAAGAGCTTGTGCAGGAACCTGAACAAAGTAACTTTTACAGTATGATTTAGCTTCAGTATCAGATCAGCAGTTTCAAAGATCCTTAAAAGCCAGAGGTCATTTTTATTTTCACACAGTGGAACTACTTGATTTCTTCACTCCATCACTCCTGTTTTCTTTTTAGGGACTTCAAACACAGGAATTGAGCCCAACCAAGCTACCACTGGCAGCATTACTACCCAAAATTTGAAACATTAAGCATCAGCTAGCATAGAAGCGGCAGGATCGAACACAAGTCCTTGCAGTAAAATGAAAGAAGTTCTAGGAATTAGAAAATATTTCTATGCTGTAAAGAAGACATTGCTAGGTAGGAAGAGCACTTGTCTATGGTGCTAAGAGGGAAATTTGCAAAAGGGCAGCAGAAGTGAAGCCAGACCTGAGAAGATGGAGCTGATGGGGTGAACAACTTTCATTTACTCAGCTGTGAACTTTGACGGATTCAGAATATCCCAGGCCTGGAAGGGCAGATTTCCTTCCAACTTAATCCTAACCTGAATTCTTGGAAACAGGAATTGTTTGAAGACAGTTGGTCCCACCAAGTCCAACAGTCAGCCTCTGCCAGTGTAAAGACTCTTAAGAAGCGCACAGAAACCCTTGTGGGTATCTAATCAATGACATAAGATAAGGATGAAAGGTAAAACCTCCTCCTGGGCATTGCAATGGGCATCTCAGCCTTAACACAGAAGGCTCCATATCCTCTTATACAGATCCTTATATTAAAGTGTAGATATGATTTTATCAATAAATCAGCATTTTTAGAAAATAAATATTCTGAAAACAAGCTTAATCAACTAGCACTGTCTTTTTTTTAAATGTGCAAATAAACCCAATTTCAATACAAGTGAGGACAAATCAGTATGAACACAAACTCACTTATGTCAACAAGGATTGCAATGTATAAAAACAGGAAACTCAACTACAAATTCTGCTGTGCTCAAATTCAGCTGGTCCGTGTTAGGACAACTCCTTTCTTAGGTCTGAATCTTTAGCTGGAGAATTTCCACCTTTTTCCACGAGCCCAGACTTTGGCCTCAGCCAGCAGTCAGAAGCAGCTGCCCAGTATAAAAGTGCCTGGTACAGATCCTGAAAGATTCAGCAGCACCTAGAGAGTTTGCAGCAAATAAAAACTCTAGCTACACATTACATTTCTTTGTACAGTGCTTATTTTCATCTCCTCCAAGAACAGTAACTGAAAAAACAGCTGAGGACTACAACTCTTCAACTTTTACTGTAGTTCCCAGAAATCACTCTCCATTTTACTCAGTTTTACACTGAAGGAACACATCCTCAGGATTCACACCAAATACCTTGTATCTTTAACTAGAGGGATTCAATGAAACTACATTTACTTTACTACCAGTAATGCAGTCCCCATAGTAAGTAATTTGACAAAGGTCACACTGATATGAGAAGATGCACAAATGCACCCAAATGCTAGAAAAGCAAAGTCTGGGAATGTGACTGAACAGTCATACAGAAAACAATGCAGCTGCATCAACATGCCCAAGTGACTGTTTGCCTTGTTCCTGCAAGGAGTCCACTACAGCATTACAGCAACCTGAACTGCTAGGGTGATTTCCTTTGTGAAGCCCATGCCTGGATGTTCCCTCCCGTTCAAGTGAAAAACACAGGTTTCATAATTGCCTCATACAAAACCCACTACAGCCAGTGAAAATCACCCAAAATGTCAATGCTCCCTGGAACAGGTTTCTAAATTGCAAATTTATACTGCTTTAAGACAGCAAATTCTTTTGAACTACTTGTGCAAGCTGAGTGTCCTCCTTGATTTTAGCTAATGCAATTCCTTATTATCAAATGTGCCCTTGAAGGCACATTTATTGTTGTTGTTACTACCTTGACAATATAAGGGTACAAGTGGAGAGAAAGATTTTTTTTTTTTAGAGTAACTGATACATCTATATAAAACAGACAAGCTTTGTGGAAACTGGTCCATCACATGAGTGGAAGGTGACTGAAAAAAGGGCCTGGTTGCTCAGAAGCCCCTTTGATCCACCTGCAACAAATGAGCTAATTGATCAAGGAAAAGGAGGAAGAAGAAAAGTGCTGCTGCTAATTTTTCACATTTTCTATCTCTCTTCAAGAGCCTAACTAGTTGGTCATAAAGCGTTTATTGTTGAGTCAGGATTTCTGGTAGTTGTTCCTGCTCAATTTGTCTGCCACCTGCTCAGGTGCACCTTGGGCTGCAGGTACCCAACATCTGTTACCACCATAGAGCAGCTCACAAATGAACGTGGATCAGCATCACAAACTCCTGGCTCCATGTACCTATGCTTAAAGGGCAGAGAGATGAGAAAAAAAAACAACCCACCCAACCAAAACCTAGGACAAAAGCCACGAAAGAAGTGTGAAAAATGTAAGTATATTATGGAAAAGGTATTATAAAAATCGCATTGGAAGAAAGCAAATAACTGAGAACCTGCCGGTAGCCCTAGAGGAGCAGGAAATGCTGCATTCCCTGAGCACTGAGGGTGAATGGCACAGTTCAGAACTCAGCAAGCGAAGTACACTGATCAGTCAATGAAGAAACACAGAGCACTCATAAATAAGACAAAACAGCACTGACAAGTTCCCATGGAAGTTTTCACCCTGGTACTACAGCACTCTCCCACAACTAGAGCAATCCATCCTTTTACTTCCATTGCTCCCTCATGCTGTAGAAGTAACACCCCAGCTCTCCAGATTCAGGTGTTCTGCTTGGAGAGATAGGAACAATTCCCCTAATTCCCTTTTCCATTAAGTATGATGAGCTTCAAGCAATCTAGGCAGAGTCTAAAGAATAACTTATTATCAAACTAATATAAAAGTAGATATATTTAGAGACTATACCTTCCTAATTGCCATCCATGTTTGGGAGGCTGGAAAAAGACTATTTCTACAAATTTAAGGGAAAAAAGGAGGAGATGGTCTGCAACAGAACTACTCTTAGCTTCAAAATACCTATTTTCTCCTCTTACCTGGATCCTGGATGTGTCCAAATGCAGTAAACGGTAAATCTTAAAAACAGTTACTCTACTGACTATGCATTCAGAACTACCAGTCTGACTTGACATCAAGAGCATGTCTTGCCTACTTAAAAAGATTGGGTTTATACGTTATTTTTTCAGGATGAACTGCTATTTTATGATCAAGATTTTCAGGGAGTTACAGATGCCCCCCCAGCCAAAGAGCTTTCCCAAGGAAATAGAAGGCAGTGAAGAATCACTCCCATCCCACACAAAGCACATTCAGAACCTGAACCAGACAAAGCAACCAATCTGTCTTTCTTACCTTGTGCTATAAAGAGCCTCTCAGTTTGGGGGGGGGAAACCACAAACACTACCAGACACTGAGCAGTGCTGTGCTTAACTGTTGCATAGTTACGGTACTTCTTTATTTAGGTATTTATTGTGGTTTGTTTGGATTTTTATTTTAACTTATCCAGAAATCCTACATATTTACAAAGAGATCAAGAAAATATTTGTATTTGTTTATATACAGGTTTTTATTGAATGTAAAGTGTTGCAAAACTAACTTAAATAAAAATGTTTCACTCCTAGAAATGAAACAAAAAAAAGCATCAGTTTGTTTATTTACACTAGTTACTGAGCAGTTCTGATATAGTGCCATAAATCTTTGTTTCTTGTTACATATCCTAATCACAGAACCCAATGATGTAATAAATGCATAGCAGAATTAAAATGCTGCAATAGAAACCTTAGCACAAAGGACCGGACAGAGTGATCCTGTCTTCAAGCAGCTGCTGTGGGCCAGCGTTGACCTGAGTATGCTGAACTACTCAGAGCAGTTACAGAGTAATTCTTATCTCCCCCTTGCGTTTATAAATATCTAAACCTTAATCTGTGAGACCCCCCATTTATTCAGCTACACCTGTCCCAGTGGCAGTGGTCCAGCCTCATTTACCTGTTACTGACATTCTGAAGACAAGTACAGAGATGTGTAACAGCAAATGGCCTGAACTGCAACAGCCCAACAGGAACACGTCACAAAGACTTTGCCAGCACTTACCATAGACAGATCTGAGTTTTCAGGCACTACTTTTTATCTGTTACCTGGGTTATAAGCTCAGCTACAAAGATCTTAAGTATGATTTTCTTATGACCCTCACAGGGTCATTTGTTTTTCCACACTCCATCAAATCAGTACAGAAACCAGAGATGCAACGCAAGCACTGAATTGGAGTGTGTAACTCCAGGGTCTGGAGCCCTCCTGCAAATAAACTGCCACGTAGCTCCTCACAACCTCAGCCTCTCTCACCAATTAAATGACGCAAATGTTTACCTACTTAAGGAGCAGATCATCAGGATAATGCATGTTCACATTCCCCATTTTTAATCACTTTGGATTCACTTTCCCTCACAACTTTCCACACAGTGACAAGCCTTACAAAGTGCATTGCACTCAGAGGAAGAGCAGGAGCGTGTCACGCTTGAAAGAAACACGTTATTAACTGAGAACTGCTTACAAATAGGGAGGGGGATCATAAAATTGTACCATCACTGAGCAAGATGGGAAGTTGAATCGACTGGGATATATGCAATGTGTTTGCTTCTGGGAGCTATGAGGTTGTCCTGAACATGCAGGGGATTAATTCACATGGTGCAGACAGAGGTGGTAATGAAGACACAGTCTGCTCCTCTTCAGCTGATGAGGTTCACCCACCAAACGGGTAAGAGATGCAGGAGAAAAAGGGAAGCAAAGATGTGTCTCCCATCTGTAGACAAAAAGTCTATGCAAAAGCAACTATTTCTGAACTGGTTAATGTTACACACATTCTAATTTTGGAGTAGAAGATTAGCATTAATATTTTCAAATGCAAAGACTTCTGTTTTCAAAATGCTTTGTTACAAGACTGGCCTTATAGAGTAAGCACCTAGACTTCACAGAAATCATCAGCCCTCATTAACAATTAATTAGAATAACTAAGGCCTGAATCATACGAAGGGTTAGATTTATGTTACAGTTCACTAAACGTCATCAAGCTCTTCTGTTATGCTTTAATTTGTTTGGATGACCCAGTATTAGAGAGACTCTCCAGTACAGCACAGAGTGACTGAAACAACTGCTGACATCTTGAACTAGAGAGACACTCATGACACTGTGGATAAAGGCTCATTCCAGGCCCATTTTAACTGGTAACTCCAATTTGAAGAAGTAATTGGCTTTAAGAATAATTTTGTTATGTGAAACAACATACTGCTTAAGATTTTCTTAACTGTACAAAACCCAAACTAAATGGCAATTTCTCTTCTAATTTAAAACCCATCAGTTAACAGAAAAATGAACAAGTGATTTAAGAATCATATTCAAGACCTGCAACACAAACACACCACACAAAGGGCATCTTCCAGGAAATGAAAGGTGGTTTGACTCTAAAAAACTGATTCTGGAAACTCCATCGGGAACAACAGGAAGGTACAACATCAAGTATCCATATAATGCAAGGTAAAGTCAAAAGTCTGCAGCTACTGAGGGGACAAACTCCCACTCCTCTCTGCAGTCAAGTTTACTCCATAGTAACTTGTCTGCTCCAGTGAAGCACCCTAAAAGCAATAATGGCAAAGGTAAGAAGGGACCTGTAACAGACAGAAAATAATGCTGCTTTCAAATCACTTTTAAAGACATGATTAGGACAAAACAATGCCTTCTGAGTGATCACAATCTTTAAAGTAGCATCCTTTCAGAGAGATTTCACTTCAAAAAACATAAATTCTAAAAGCTGGACTACTTCAAAAAATTTTATGTGCAAATACATCAGGTATTCCCTCATTTCTAATAGTACAGCAACTTCTCACTCCTGTCTTCTATGAATACACTGACTCACAGACTAAACTCCCAAATCCTGCAATTCTCCCTTGAAATGGAAGAGAACACTTGTTCTCAAAGTCAAGCAGATGCAGAAGTGACTGGAGGGCTGAGCACCCCAGTGTCTGAGGAGCCATTTCAGATCTGAAAGTCAGGACTCATGAGTACTGTGCGCAGAAGGGTTTGGAGATGAACCCTCACTGCAAGGAGGAGACTGAGGGGCTGGAGCGTGTCCAGGGAAGGGAACAGAGCTGGGAAGGGGCTGGAGCAGCAGGAGCAGCTGAGGGAGCTGGGGGGGCTCAGCCTGGAGAAAAAGAGGCTCAGGGGGGACCTTCCGGCTCTGCAACTCCCTGACAGGAGGGGGGAGCTGGGGGGAGGCGGGCTCTGCTCCCAGGGAACAAGGGACAGGAGAAGAGGAAACGCCATCAAGCTGTGCCAAGGGAGGATCAGGTTGGATACTGGGGAAAATTTCTTCACAGAAAGGGTGGTCAGGTATCAGCACAGGCTAGAGACTCCATCCCTGGAGGGATTTACAAGATATGTGGCATTTGGGGACGTAGTCAGTGGTGGCCTTGGCAGTGCTGAGGTAATGGCTGGACTTGATGATCTTGGAGGTCTATTGCAACCTAAATAATTCTATGACTCCATATTCCCTGTAGTGAATCCACATAGTTATAGTGACATAACTTCTGTAAAGAATTCTCATTTAATTATTTTATTAAACTTCACCCATCGTTTCTTACTGATAACAATTAATGGCTTCATGGAAAAGGGGAGAAAAACCTAATACAAAACAAGCTAAGAATGGAAAATGTCAAACTGTAGTTCTACAAAATGAAGAAACATCCCCAGACTCTGGATGACCAATACAACAATCAAGCTGGTGAACAACTCAGTTTTATGAGTTTCAGAAGTTCTTACTTACCCGGCTTGAATGAGCTCATTGAGTTTAGCTGCGTTCTTGTCATCCATACCTTTACAGGAAATGGGATAACACAGTGAATTAGGATTTACAGTCATAATGCCATGACCTTTTCTGTGTCCTGTTGGGTTTTCAAAGCTATTACATTTTATTCTCACATAAGAGTGACACGTGTAAATGTGCTGCAACATACCCTTCCTGAAAAGTTCACACTTTCATAACATGCAAGCTTTACATGATCCTTGCCACGAAAACTACACTTTACACATGGATTAAATGACCCTAGTTTAGGTACTACAGTTGTCTTCAAATGCTGGGCTTTAATATGACACTGCAACATTAAAAAGAAAAGCTTCATCTTTCTGCTCAATCTCTGTTGCTAAGGCAGCAAGAAACAGTATCATAGCAACGAACACAGTAAAAAACTAAATAAAAATGTAACAAGTAACCCTCACTTTTCTCCGTGCATTATACAGCAAGTTTTTAAATGGACATTTTGGTAACTCAATTCATGTGACAGTAAGGTCCAGATCTGTTTACTGAACAATTAACCTCCCTCTGGCAATGCTGAAAGTATTTCTGACATGCTTTCATGTCTCATCTCTATTTCTGGGACTCTGTGAATACATGAAGAAAAAAAGACTAAAGGAAAAAACAAACAAACAAACAAAAAAGAAACTGCTTTCCCCAGCAAAGCAGACCTCTCATAAACTGGGTGCAGAGCCTTGTAGATCGAGTCCATTTAGTCTTGGAGATGAGAATTTTCCAAGTGTCAGTGGATAAAGTATGTAAATAAGTCCTGAAGTTCTAAAAAGACAGAAGTATAGAGGTTGCAGGCATTGCCATGGTGACTGTGTGAAACCTTACTCCAAGTCACAGCAAGAAGGGTCTTTTGATGCTTGTAAAACAAGATGTGGGTACAGGGAAGAAACACTAACACCGATTTCTGGTGACAATGCAATGTGCCTTGCCTCGGCACTTGCTTTGTCACAAAACAGTTCAAAATTACTTCTCCAAGGTGAATTAACACGCTGGAGATCGTTGAACACACAGAGTAAAGTCAGTTTGAACATCCAAAACAGTCTTGTTCAAGACCTGCTATGATAACAATCCCTGGTGAGGGACAGTGAAAAACCCCTTGCCAAATACCACAGTCCTGTTAGGAATTGTACACGTCCACCCATGAATCCTTCTTGTCCTTCTCTCTTTGCAACTAGTATGACTTCAAAAAGAAGTATTTTATTTTCCATGTCTCACAAATTAAACAAACATGTAGAAGATGCACTATGATGTAACACTGACTGTACAAAAAGCTTGGGGACAAATGAAAAAATGCACAGATAAAAAGGTGTATGTGCATGGACTGGCACACACAGGGTATGTTCCTCTGCCCACTCCCCAAGCCAGTCATGTCAGAGCTCTCTCTGGAAACCATCAGGACCATGGGACCCATGTCCTGGGCTGATACCACAGCAGGTAAGGGAGGAATTCTGCCCCTCTGCTCCACTCAGGTGAGATCCCACCTGCAGTGCTGCCTTCAACTCTGGGGGTCCCAGCACAACAACTACTTAAAGGGGGCTTATAAGAAAGAGAGGGACAGACTTTTTTACAGGGCCTGCAGCAACAGGACAAGCGATGATGGTTTTAAACCAAAAGAGAGGATATTTAAACTACATGTAATGAAGTTTTTTTTTATTATGAGGGTGGTTAGGCCCTGGCATAGGCTGCCCAGAGAACCTGTGGCTCTCCTATTCATTGAAGTGTTCAAGGTCAGGCTGGACGGGGTTTGGAGCAACCTGGGATAGTCGAAGGCGTCAAAAAGGTCAGAACTCATCTTGGTTAGTCAATAAAGTCTTATGATTTGTAATGCTTTTTCATCTTCAGGGTTCCATGAGGAAAGATTTAGAGAACAACTCAGAGAAAGGCACCATCCCAGATTTTGACTGTGTAGGCACAAATAATTGCGGGTGCAAATTATATCATTTACACATTTAATTGCTTAGTTTTCAATAATAATAAAATAGATCATCTAAGTCGTGTGTGTGTTTACCTGTCACCTATGGGCAATACATGCACTGCATTCTGGAGACAGGAAAAGCTAAAGAAATCTCTCAAAAGGGACTAATGCAACAGACTAAGGTGGTCTCTAAAACTAAAACTACATATAATGAAGAAACAATAGCACAGAGTACAGCAACAGAATAAAATGAACACAAGTTCTCAAGAACTCAAAAGTGGAACTGAACTAGACACTGCCACCTTCAAGGGTAAATACTTGTGATTCTACCATGTAAAAATAACCTGAAGTCATTCGTACTCACATCCCCCGATCTTTTTCCTCAGTTCCCCATAGCAGATTAAGCCATACAGCTCCAGGGAAGATTTTTTCAGCCCTTGAGAAAACACTGAAAAGCAGAAAAGGTGTCAGTGAGACGCAGGTTGCAGATACTCACACACAGCTACGCTGAAGATACTCATTTCAACCCTGAAAAGGAGAGCATTTGTATTTTCAGTGATGAGACAAACATCCCACCGAAGGCAAAACTTAAGTTCTCATTCAAGAAACACCAGAATGGGATGGTTCACCAATTTACAGGAAAACAAGCAGCTTCCACAGAATTTAAAAAAATATGCAACAGTTCAATATGCAAAATAAAGCAAATTCATAATAAAGCTAACTCCAGGATCACTTCACTGTTTACAAATTCTCAGGGAAATGTCCAGACGCCCCCAAGGAAATGCATACAGAACTCTTTTTATATGAAAATTTAGAAACAGGTCTGGATTTTCCAGAAGACAGAATATTTTCTGTGCACTGAAATGCACCTTAAGCAAGTTAATGTAAATTCCAGATATTAAATTTTTACATGAAGAATTGCAGACATTTTATTTAACTTTACAAGGGATTTTTTTTGACCTTTCTCATGAAGACATATGATATGGACATTACTGCTAATAGATCTATAACAGTAAGAACAGTCTTGTGGTTTACAAATCAGGTGAAAATATTTATTCTTGTCTATTCATCAAGACTTTAGTTCTCTTTGACCTGCAGACTCATTTAATCCCAAAATCCAGGCACACATATTTCTACCAACACTAGAGCTTACCAAACTACTGCTCTATTACATTCCTTCAGACAGTGAGATTCTAGACCATACAGATACAGAACTTTGTTACCCAAGAAACAGATTAACCTCTTCTGTGACATCTTTTAATTTTAAAAATTCTTCCATACTGTGTTTGCTGCAACATTTGTTTTTAAATAAAATACTAATGGCTTCTTTCATCTTAAAGTGCTGCCTTGCTTTGGAAAGAAGGAACTCACAAAAACACAATATGCCAGGTGGTTTAAATATACAAGTCCTCCTTCAGGTAACCCAAGCTCAGGAACAGACAAGTTCATAAACAGACTGTATCATACACTACATTCGCATTCCTTCAGCTTCTTTCTAGACATATCCATTTCTCATTAATGAATTATTTTTAACTTGAGAGGTTCTGGCCACAAACTGTGTAGATGAGTTTACTATCCAAACTTTTGCAGGTATTCAAAGACCAAATGCTTCAATAACCACAAACTGCCATGATTTCTGCAACTTAGAATATACCATCAGGACAGGAAAACTCCAGAGACTTCTACTTAATCAACAAGTTAATGGGAGACCTGACATTCTTGACACCTTGAAGTCAAAAGAATTGGATCTTAGTAAAATCTTGTCACTGAAATAGATTTCTTTAACCTGTTATTCAGATCTGGGCACACACAGACAAACTTGAATCCTCACTGCCCATTACTAAATAGTACAGATTTGATAAAAATCCATTCTCAACAATCATATGTTACTATTATTGTTACAAAACATCATCAGCAGTTTATCTGACTTCCCAACTTCCTTTTTATTAAACAAGTTACAGAAGGAGGGAATAGAATGGAAAGGGGAAGTTACTGACCCAATGGTATAATTTCAGGCTTGTTTGAAGTGGGAGCAAATATGTCACCATTTACACTTTTATTGGACTGTTTATTTCTGACTTCCCCCAAGAATTGCAAAGTGGTGCTGAGTGGTGCAGTTGCTTGATGCACTCATGCCTGAATAACATTTAGGCAGCTCTCCTCAAAGCTGTGTTCCTGAGAATACAAAAACATTCCCTCGAACCTGGCTTTTCCACAGCATTATATAATAAAGATAAATGATGTGGTGAATTCATATAACAGCAGTGACACAAATACCAGGTTTTGAAAAGCATTTTTCAAAAAATATGAACTTCAGCAGGGCCATGCTAACGAAAATAAGATGGAAATGTTGTGGACTCCCCATCCCTGGAAGTGTCCAAGGCCACGTTGGATGGGGCTTGGAGCAACCTGGTCTAGTGGAAGGTGTCCCTGTCCACGGCAGGGGGTGGAATGGGATGACCTTTGAGGTGCCTTCTATCCCAAACCATTCTCTGGTCCTACGACTCTGTGTTCACAGGCACCCTCCTCAGTATTTATTTTCTCACCTCCACCACTCCAGCCCTCCATGACGGTACCAAAAGGCAGGACTCCAGCCCCCACACCAAGCCCACACTGGTGCATACTGACCATTATCAAAGTCAATGTACTTGGAGATCTTGTGCCAGGTGCGGTAGTAGAAGTGCCGGACCTGCTCCTTGTTCTTCACCATGCTTGCAGGTTTGCCTTTCTTCTTGTACTTCAGGGCAATGTTGTTCTGGATAGCTTCAAAGTCCTTCCCATGCTGAAGAATAAATAAACCAAACTGAAATACTCAACCCCAAACACAGAGCTCCTCATAAGTCAACTCAAACAACACGAGGGCCTTTGGGGTTCTTTGTGGGATATTGGATTTCAATGGTCATAAAAAAAATTCTTAGTTATCAGAACTCGACAGTTCTGAGAATGACAGAAAATGTCAGAGAATGACACTGGTTTCCTTTGTTTTATATAAAATGCATTATAGATGCCAAATTAATTACTTTAGAATTTCTTTAACAGTTTCAAAATAAAAACAGTAATATGCTAGCAAATTAAACAGAAACCCAAAACATCCAACCTTACTCAAAAACATGCTAAGTAGCAGAACTGAAAACACTGATTTTCTCCCTGAGCTTTCTTCACTTTCCTCTGCATTCCCCCCACCATTTCTAACTAGAGTGAATGAAAAACCTATTATATTTACCAGTTGCACTTTTATTTACAGTACATTTCACGATACGGTTACAAAATTTGAGTTCCAAAAGATTTGATCTTACATTTAACTCCTGCCATCACAAAATTTTTGTATTCACAATAAGTTAGAACTGATTTACATATAAAGTGTGAAGATCTCTTCCAAAAGGCAGTGACACAAAATAAACGAAGGGGGGGACCAAACAGAGTCCCAAATCCATTTTCCTCAGTATTCAAAAAAATAAATTAGTGAAGTGACTTAAAAACTCACAATTCCCAGGAATATTACCGCAAGTCAGAGGAGTTAAAGAAAACAGTGTTTAAGTGTTCATTTTGTCCACAAAATATATACATGTGAACCATGCCAATGACAAAAAAAAAATTCAAAAAGATGCACATGTGCAAAGTTCTGACCACCACTGCATCCGTTTTTACCTTTGTTATGCACTTTGATAACAGAAATACTCTTAAAATAATCACGGGAACAGGACAAGCAGGAATCCATCATATACATCATATGAGACAGAAGACAAGATGATGTAACTTTTCCGTGTCTCTCAGCCTAGGACTGAACTGGCTCTAACTTCTTCATGGTCAAAGACTAAACACAATTCTTATTAGAACAGAACAGCTTTTCTTGTTTGGTATTATTACAGAAGAAGTGTGCTGCTTTTGGAAGTTGAGATGGGGACATTACTTATTTATTTCTCATTTGAAACCAAATCGTAATTCAAAACGAACAGAAATTATTATAAAATTTCATTAATAAAACTCGGAAATACTACCTGTGTATTTAAAAAAAAACACCAACAAACTTGACACTTGAAATGTGGCTTTGAGTGACAGTTGGTTTATAGCTCACTGTATGGACACAGAAGTGCTCATGTGTAAGTGTGCCTTCTGCTCCTGCCAACCTCACTGAACCAACCTTCTCTAGAAACATCCAGACTAACCAAAGCCATCTAAGTTTGTTATTTTCTTCTACGTGTACCTCATACAGTCCCTCAAAGAAAGTATTCTTGTCCTCTGTGCTCCACGACTCCCATTGCCGTCGGACCTTCTTCCCTTCTTCCTTCTCTCCAGTCGAGGAGCCCAGGTTCCTTCCCGCTGACTTGGAATTCCCAGCCGGATTGCTGGGAGGAATTCCCGATGTGCCACCAGACACAGTCCCTCCATTATCTGCTGCTGCAAAAAACCATGACAAGAGTGAATAATAAACCAACAGGAGGATTCATGGATAGAGTCCTTTTTCACCACTTGTATCTGTAGCAGGGTTTTTTTGCAAGGTACTTCACCTGAAATACATCAGGCAGATAACAAAGTTTGGTTTTATAGAAATAAAATCTTGAAGAGGAAAAAGCCAGGGGAAGGTTTTGATGGCTTAATTTTGTATTTCCAGGAGTAACAGAAATAAGCAGGAATACAGCACAGCAACCTCTACCAGACAACCCTCTCTGATACTTGCATGCTGGTGAGCTCTGCAGTCATTGCCCTGCAGCCCAGGGAGCTCCTGAGCAGTGCTGAACAGGGAGCTGACCAACAGAGCAAACTCATGACTGTGAGGAAAATACATGTAATGTCACATCCTTGTCTTTGGTTTTGATCCTATTGCCTCTGGAATAACTGTGGTAAGGGAACGACTGAGAGATGTTGGCTTTAGTTCACCACACAACGGATCAGCTTTTCCACAATCTGATCCACAGTGTAGGATCCTCAGAGCACCATCTCTGACATGGCCCATCTAGGATAACTCAAGGTATCCCAAAGACTGGCAAAGCACCCAAAGAACATGAATCAGAAGAGAGATATGAAGATTGGAAATACTAAAATCAGAATGATGTCAAATGGAACTGAGAGAATTTGCTGTTTACTCAATTAGAGGGCCAGGGAGAAAATGGGATGGAAAATCTACAAACCAAATATGCTTGGTTTGACACTGTAATAGATTATCAGAGTGTTAAGCCAAAAACCAGGGACACCTCCCAAAAATGTACTCATTTTTTTCCATAAGAATTTAACCATTCCCTGTAATTTATATTTCCAAAATATATTATTTTCAATTTTATTAAGAAGTATTTAGTTAAGATTTGACTGTCCTTATCAGTGCAGGCATGTACTTAATAAAACAGAAGTTGTTTAACACTAGCATTCATTGCTCAATATAGAGAATGCCCATTACACTTTTCATTTCTCTAGTTACTGCCCTTTATGTTTTATATTTTATCTCATAATACATTGGCTTGCCTTGGTCTATTTGCTTATACACCCAGTTTGTACAATACAACAGTCCTAACCAGTTCCCCAACTTTTATACATATCGGCACAATTCTCTCTTTCATATTTAGGCTTAAAAAGTTATCTTTTCGAATTCAATTACACAAAGCAGATTTTTTACTGACAAAGCCAATGTTTTATATATATATACACATATATATCTTGCTCAAGAACACAGATATCCCAGTTTGATAATCCTAATATTATTTTAAAAAAGAGTATCAGAAGAATCAGCTGTGACAGGCTCAGTGTGCTTTAGAGATTTGAAAGACTTGCACGTAAATCCTAACAATTCAGTTGCAATTCGAAAGTAATTCCTTTGGATGACAAAATCATATTTCTCCAAATCCTAAAGAAGTTGGTTTATTTCAGTAACAGAGAATATTTTAAATCAAACCTGGAAGAGAGTAAGGTGTGCAAAAGTACATTTTTCTCCTGCATACAATAACTATTTACTTGATATAAAATATGATATTGTGACCATTTTGAGGTTAACATTCTTTTTCTTTTTAGGGATGACTATTTGACTCTTGAAGAAAATTATTGTAACTACAGGGAAGCATGTAAGACAAGACATGAAAAACCATTAGATATCTAGAAGAAAATGCACTTAAAACAAATTCTCAAGTAAGCAGCTTCTCTACTTTCTAAAGTCTTCATCAGCCACTAATAAAATAAGTGAAAGTTAAACCATTTAATTCCGGCACTGAGGAGGTAAATCCTTTAAAAAAAGGAAACCACAAGAAAAAACTGAGCACTTTAGCAGATGGTTGAAAAGAAAACCAACACAGACACAGAACTGACACTTCTTTATTCTGCAAATGTGAGATTGGAATATCACAACTTGCATGGTAGAGAATATGTATCTTTGGTCAAGAAGAGGGAATTCAAACATATCAGTCCCCAAACTCAATCTCCAATTTCCTGTTGATACCAGTTCCCAACACAAAAGATGTCCTTTATCAGAAGTCAGTTACAAGATTCCAGTGTCACTACTCTGATCATAGCCCTCTAACTCCTGAGAAATCCTTCAGGAGAAACATGAATGCAGGATATGGGGGGTTCATTTGTTTGTTGGGTGGTTGGTTTTTGTTTGGGGTTTCTTTAATACTTACTCAAGTAAGTAAAATCCTAAGTCTGCCTAAAGATCAGATCTTATCAAGGATTTTCTGAAGACTGTTCAGTGCATTTGGTACATATGAAGTTTTCACTATTAAAAAGCATAAGAATCTGAAGTATCTATCAGTGAGGACTTCCTGGTCTTATTAGAATTTAAAGTTCAGTACATTTCCACTTACATTTTAGCTGTAGATAAAAGACGGACTGAAGAGTTCTGTTGAGGACATGCTGATACTGATACTGATTCAACTTCTACACAGGACAGGTAGCTCATAATTCACCTGTTGTTCCTTTATGTTCATTGACTATTCTACGAAACAAACTGTAGTGCTGAGAAGTTTATCAGAATCTTTTTTGCTTTAAATACAAATAAATTACCATTCAGGCAATTGTTCAGAGTATTGTATATGAAGATCTAAAATTCGAATATCCTGTCACTTCTACAGAGATCTTATGTGCCAATTAATTATTCCAGGAACAAAGGGGTTTGCTCTATTACCCCTCTGCATAAACTTTTTTACTTCTGTGCATGGTAATATTTATGATTGGGTTGTCCCAATCCACCCTGGAGTATACTGGATCTTGGTATGGCAATGGAATGCACCATATTCTAAAACACGGTATTAGAAACCAACTCAGGATAAAAGGCAAAAGCAAAAATAATCATACATCATCAAATTACCCCCCATAAATTCATTATTTCAAACAGGGTTTCAGTGAAGACTGCCATTAAGGAGGCCACACCAGAAAACAGCTTCGAGTGTATATTTTATTGTCAAAAACCTGCATTAGAGCTTAGCAGTCTTATGGTACGACATTCTGGTACAAGAATACATTCAAAACATTCTCCTATGGTACGAGATACATTCAAAACAAAAAATCCAATGCCAACAGAGCTGGGTGAGGTGCTGTGATCTGCCCTTTTCAGGAGCTTCAAATGCATTCTGCTGTTCTCATGACAGAGTATTCCTCCTTGAGCATTCACTTCTCGATTTTAATGAAAAAGACATCAAAGACAAACATACAAACTCTCTGATCGCTGGTAAATGAGCCCCTTGTCTAGCCATTACAGATATTACATTGGGTACTGCAGTGAAGAACAGAAAGTGTGTGCTGTAGGAATTTAAGTGAAGCCCCTTAGAAGGACAGCCCAAGAGAGCTGCAGGCTAGCACCAATCTGCTTTTGTCTCCAGCATTTGTAGCTAAGAAGAAAAAGCAGATGACAGAGGGAGAGAGACAGACACGTTCCCTGCAAGTCAAAACTTCATTTTCAGTGCTAGTTTCTACCCTGTATGTCTCTACAGTGCACAGCATGAAGTCCTGAGAAGGGTAGGTCTAGGACAGTTTATACCTTATGGCATGGCTACGGCATATAGTGTTCCAAAGTCTGAAACAGAGAATCACAGAATATTCTGAGTTGGAAGGGACCCACAAGGACCATTGAGTCCAACTCTTAAGAGAACGGCCCACACCAGGATTGCACCTGAGACCTTGGTGTTACTGGCACCCTGCTCTCATCAGCTGAGCTCATCTCAGGGTCAACGGGTGCCTGTCCTACAGGGATAAACGTAGCCTACCTTCCTCTAACTCCTACCAGTTGCAAAATTAGCACAACCAAGAGATAGCTGAATGTGTTTAAAACATACCCAGTGTCAGTTATCAACAGGAGCCTCCTAACAAAACTATACTGATGGTTTGCCTCTACCCGGACAGGATATGTTCAATATACAATGTATGAAAGGCAGCACTATCTAAGCTAACCAAGTAGAGGTATAAAAAATAAACAGGGTGTATTATACATTTGCTTACTCCTCCACCTCCAGTGAATCATTATTCTCTTGCTCTTCCATTAGAAAACACCCATAAAGCCCAGCATGAAGTTCCATCCAAACCTCGCGGCTGTGTAGCCCTGCAGGCAGGTACCTGTCAGAGTTCAGTACCTGCTGCACAGGGCACAGGAGAAAACCCTACTCTTATGCTGTGAGCTCAGATACTGCACAGTCCTGGTCCTGAGCCACCTCCAAAGGGAGGAAGGCAGAACTGGGGTAACTGGGAGGGCAAAGAATGAATGAAAGCATGTCAGGGTAGGATGGAAAGAGAGGTACCGAGTGCAAACGAGATGGACAGAATTCAGGAAAATGTTAGAACAAGGGACTGTACCAATAGTCCTTGAACAGTGATTCATGTCCTAGAGAAATAAAGCTGGAGGAATGACATCTCAAAAGAAGGCTATAACATATGAACTTGGGAAGATACAATAAAACACAATGTAAGTACACACATCAGGTGTTTTGGTACATACATCCTCTCCACAGGAAAAGGCAGTAGTTGATTTAACCACATGCTACTGGGACAAGCAACTTTGATGTGCTGAAACTAGACTGCTTCCTACCAAGTTCTATACCATCCCAAAAAATGGAATGTTTTAATTCAACTAGTGCTTTCAGCTGAATAATTCTTTTTTCAAGAAAGAGCTGCTTATTATTGCAAATACTTTTGCAAATACTTTTTTGAGCCATTCTACACATTTTAGGAATAAATCCAGAGCAACAGCATGAAACACATCTTCAAGCTTCAGCTCATCACCCTTAGCTACTCCTCCTGACTTCATTCTGCACTCAGAAAATGGATGAAAGCATGCAAATGGGAATACTCTACTCTAGTTCAAGCTACATCCACAGCACACGATGGCCATGTATTCCCTCACTGGCTTTTACCAAAGTGGCCACATCCTACACACGTTTATTCCATCTGTTCTGGCTTTACGGACAAAAGCACACCTTAACACCTGTGCTCAGCAATCATGTGGCATGGATGGAAGAAGCAGACTCCAAGCAATCCCTCTTTTTCAGCAACCTCAACTTGTTCTGCATCTTCTCCCTCAATGAACCTCCCTGCACTGGAACTCTCAAACTGTCTTCACTCCACTAGTCCTTCAAGTTCCTCCTACGGTTTCATGCAAGTCACTTGAAGACTCGCTTCATACTTCAAAAAGGCATACACCAGTTGAGGTGTAGACTATGAACTTGAAAATAAAATAAAAAGATGACCAACAGTTGAAAATAGTATCATAACCATTCTGAAAAAAAAAAAAAAAAAAAAGGCAGATATTTAGATATTTGTGCAGGAAATTTGATAAACCTTCCCGCAATTCTAAATGGATTGGCTGTTGAAGTCAAATAGTTTTCAAACTTTATTTTACTGTACTACTTTCTATGTAATTTTTGCCCTAAACTCAAAAGTGCACCTCAGTAAACAAAAAGCAAGAGACGGGATCCAAAGGTGCAATTAAAGAGTATGTCAGGACAATCTGATGATTAGCAACATGCTTATATACACTAGTAGGTAGAATTTGAGAATTATTAAGAGCAGTTTTCCCTGAACCACAGTAAGATAAAACTGAGAGTCAGCAGCTGCCGAGTGGGCAAACTCTTGCTCCAGTTAACTGTCAAGTTTATCGATAATTTGTCTGCTCCAGTTAAGGGCCCTAAAAGCACAAATGCCAAAAGTAAAAAGAAATTTGCAACACATAGAAAAAACCACTGTTTTCAAAACTCTTTTGAAGATATGATGAGGACAAGCAACTACCATTTGAAAGAAATTAAGCACACTGATTACACTCTTTAAAAACTACCAAGTGAGAGAGTTTTTAGTCTAGAATGCACAGGTTCTAGAAGTCGAATCACTTCAATAAAATTTTAAGTGTCATTATTGAATGACTACAACAAAAACAAGTTTCTGGTTTCTCTGGACCAAGTCTAAGTGTGGTCTGATCACTCCTGCTGGCCAGTGCCAGAGTTACTTGTGCAGCCACCACCTTGATTGTGACATAATGGAAAAGCTTCCAGAGCTGATCCAAAGTACATGTGTTCCAGCTTTTTATCATTTTTATACTTACAGAGAAAGGAGAAAGATGGTGGGACAGCGAATGAAAAGATTTAGGTCTAATCTTTCTTAGCAATCTCCACCCTATCCTAAATCCTGCCCTATCCCAAGCTGGCTCTGTGAGACACTTCACTCAGAATACAGGGCACTATGAATTCTGACCACAAGGCATTCCACTGCGGAGAATTCAGACAAGCCTGGAAAACTTCTCATTACGCATCTCTGAACATAAAGAACTCAAATTAGAGAGGATCCTGCTCCATGACTTTGTTCTCCAAAATCTGACGGTTATCATCTCAACCATATAAGAGAAATCAATCAATCTGACACATTCACACCAAACCTGGCCAGGCAGAGCTGTAGCTGGACTAACAATTCCAGAAGTGAAAAGTTCAAATCCACCACCAACTGTCACTCCTGATGATCTAAGAAGTTCCCCCAAAGCTCACAACATAGCCAGGTACAGCAATTACAAGCGCTATCTGTGACCGATTACTGAAATAATATTTTCTGTTCTGTATGTAGCTTTATTAGGGTGGTTTTGGAGTCTGAATTGCAAAAATGAAGGAAATCTCCTTTTCTATTTTATTGATACACCTAGTTAAAAATCGTTATGCTGCTCTAAAATTAGAAATGAATGTTCATGTACGAATACACAAACATGAATAAACACTTACACAAAGACCCATGTATTTGTTCACACGTGTATACGCTTCTAAAGCAATGGAATAATTTCCAGTGGATATATTCAACTTGTCAATTATGGACCAGATGCATTTCAAAAAAACACCTCCTTGTATCTAATACTATTTACGACCCTGGAAATAATTATCTGAAGCTAAACACTCCTGGGTATTCCATCTGTTTATTTGGCTTCATGCAACTAGGAAAAAAATTACATAGACCTTTCTGTTCTGTCCTCCAACAGTACATAGAGAGTTTTCACTTAACATTCAAGAGATTAAAGAGGACTTACCACGGTATTCAAAAATACTTTAGTCAATTATATAAACTGTCAAGCAACAGAGTTCAAGAATTTTTTTGTGATATGACAATAACCAAAATATCCCAATTTGCACTGATTTATTACTGCAACACAAAACTATCATAACTGTAATGCTTACTTAACGCCCAGCATGTGCACAACCCTGTGATAGAACAGAGTGAGGTAACCTCCAAGACATAGTTATGCTCCATGGAGTTATACCCCAATTTAGCAGACAAGAGTAAACTTCATTATTTCAAATACTGAAGAAATCTTTGAGTGCTGTTTTTCTCAAAAATTAATGGAAAATAACACTTGAGTACTTTTGCATAAGGTATCCAAAATTAGGCTCAACTGCAGTGCTGAGATGTCATCCAGTCACTGCTGAGCACACAATAGCACCAAGATATTCAAATATCCCTGCTGTCTTCCAGCTACTCAAGTTAGAAACAGCTCTGAAAAAAATCAAATTCTTGTCTCCAATGCTTAAGTGAAAAAACAGATGCGTTTATGTCTGCACCTACAGACATTCAGATGTATACAAAACAATCTTAATATAAATTCAAATTACATTGAAATGCCCGAACTGTTCTGAAACAGAAACACGTGACTCTCCAAACCTTAGAAACAAATATGGCAGTATATGTATTTCATAGCTGTTTCCAAAATAGTTATTTGGATCATAGAAATAACTGGGGTAAATCACCAATGTCCCATGGGTTGTTTTTTTTTACCCTTTGATAAGTAGCACCTAGTGAATATTTTGTTATTATCTAAGAACAGAATTCAGAGTGCAGCCACCTGATTACACAGCTATCTAGAGTCTCATTTCCTAATCAAAATACAGGCATTTCCTCAAACTTGAGAGAGATGAAATGCAGAAATCAAAGATTTGCTTCAATAATGGAGAATTCTTCCTTCTCCACATACACATCCAGACTCCCCATTTCTGGAAGTGTAGAGAGAGCAGTGGGCAGCAGAGAAGCTGAAGCCTTGGGACACAAAGAAGATTTCAGCTACTGTGAGAAACAAGCCCCAAAACACCTTCCCAAAAACAAACAAAAGATGGCATCCACAGAAGAAGAATGACAACCCATAGCCCCACAGGTGCCTCCCCTCCTTGCCACCCCCCTTGCCAGCATGTTTTTTGTACCTTTGCCTTTTCCAGCAGTGCTGCTGCCAACCGAGGAGGATGCCTGGGAATCCTTCTTCAGCCTCTTGCTCTGAGGTCTGACGCTGGACCTGAGAAAATGATGCTGGTCCTGGCTGTGGGAGGGCTGGAGGGAGGTCGGGGCCTGCGACAAGCTGGGGTTCGGTGGGGGGCTGCTGGTAGTGTTGTTAATGATCTTCTCTTCTTTCTTTGTGCTGCTGCTGCCTGGAGCTGCCTCTCCTCCTCCTCCTGCCCCTTCTTCTTCCAGGGACTCCTCATCTCCTCCTGCTCTCTTGCCTAGCTTTTTCACCCCTTCCTCCCCGCTGCTCTCTCCCAGTTTCACTGTCATCCTGCGGGGGAGCAGAGAGAGAAAAGAGGGGGGCACACAGTCAGGCCGGGGAGCCCCCCGGGGAGGCAGAGAAACCCCTGGGCTGAGAGGGGAGAAGTTTAGCTGCAGAAATTCCTCTCAACATGGCCGCCGTTGTTTGTTACTAAATCCCCTTTCGTTTGCTGTCCCGACCCAACAACCTGTGCCGAAGGCGGGAGGGGGAAAGCCCCGCCGCAACCCTCCCCAAACCGGCCCAAATGGCAGCCGGGCCTCCCCTGCAGCCCCCCGGCCCCGTCCTGAAAGGCTCTGGGCCGCCTTCGGCCGAGAAATCCGCCCGGCCAAACTCGGGTGTGCGGCAGCGCTCGGCCGGTGCCCGGGGAGCGGCAGCGCCGACCCGGCAGAGCCGAGCGGGGCAGCGCCGCTGCCCCATCGCACCCCCCGGGGCGGACTCGGGGCTCGCTGCCCTCTCTCCTCACCGCGGAGCCGCGGCCCGGCCCGCTGCGGGGGGGATATCCATGCTCCTGGATGCGGCGGCGGCGGCTTCTCCTCCTCTGTGTGTGTGTGTGTGTGTGTGTGTGTATGTGTGTGTGAGTGTGTCTGGGACTGGGACCGGCCGAGGCTCCCGCTCCCCTCCGCCCCCACCCCGCACCTCCCCGCGCTCCTTCCCGCCGGGCAGCGCCGGCCCCGTGGGCTGTCAGCGGGACCGGCTCCCCGGGCCGGCACCCCCGGCCGCCGCCCGCGCGGGGGGATAATTAATGACACCCCATTCATTAATTCCTCTCCCCCCCCCCCCCAATTTGGAGGGCAACAAACTCCGGAGGCACCTGTGCCGGCCTGTGTGCCCTTGCCTCGCCCAGACCTCGCCCGAGCAGGGCAGCTCTAAACCCTCGTGTGCCAGGGGAGCATCCCTGGGCTCCCCCAAGGCATCTCTCAAGTTCCACCCCGAACCCGACGCTCAGGCCAGCTGCTGGGATGACCGCTCGCTGTGCTGGCTTCACAAATCCTCTCAATTCTGAAGTGTTTTTTTTTTCAAATACTTGGAACAAAGCGTGAGATGTGCACGCAAGCTTAAGGCATTAAACCACATTATCTGTTAAAACCCAACGACTGTTTGGGTTTTCCTTGAAGAGTGTAGAAATATTACTGACGCCATACCTAAAAGAAGTCATCCTCCAAGAAAGAACCACTTACAGCGCCCAGCAAGGAGCAGCAGTTGGGATGCAGCTGCCTTGTCACCATGGCAGGAGCCACCATCCAACCTCCATCAAGGGGAAAGATAAAAACCAATAGGAGCAGAAAATTCTGAATATCGCAAACATTGGAATGACGACGGGTTAGGCTGACATCAGGATAATGAGATTCAAAAGAAAGAAGATGCATCAACCTGATATGGCCTACAAACTTGTGAGGTTACTCTTTATGGGTTGTATTCCTTCTTTTAAAATGATACTTTTCCCTCTAATTTTCAGCTAAACCACTGAACTTACCGATCCAGAATTTTGTTGGGCAAGGTTCCTCTCTTCGCAAACGCTCAATAAACTGATCTGAACTGTGGATCTAAACTCATATTGAAACTTGGTTATTTATTTACCTGACAGGTCCCTAGTTACTGACTGATTCTCCATACACCAAAAGCTGCAGTGTTTCCCGTTAGTTTGAGGACAGAATTCTTACAGTTCTGACAGCCTGTGCTCGAAAACTTCATGTAAGCAAAGCTTAAATAATTCCAAGCCTGGCTTTATTGCTGCAAATTAAACAATACACCCACAGGCATCCCCCAGAGATAAGCTGGGGGACACCAAAGACACGCTCCTTGGGGACGCTTCCTTACTAGAGCAGCAAATCCCACTTCCCAACTGCTGGCTCCTTCTAGCGTTCTGCCTGAGCCCTCCGGCAGCGCCCTAAGCCCAGTGTCCCCGTCTCAGCCGCTTTTTCCTTTCGTTTTCACCATGTTCCTCTTGCTCCCGAAGAGAAAACCTCCTCAGCCTCGCTGCTCTGGTGCTCCACACCTCTCGGCCGTCCCTCCGCTCCCACGGGAGCCGCAGAGCCGCGTCCCCCTAGCGCCGCCACGCCCTGGGAGAGCGGCGCCGGGCCGGTCCCCCCGCGCCGGCCTCACCTGCCGCATCAACGCCGTCGCGCAGCCTCCGTGCTCTGGCTCCGCCGCCGGCTCCCTCAGCCCCAGGCACCCGCGGGCTGCGCCCAGACCCGCCAGCTCGGGAGGCGGCCGGCGCCGAGCCCAGCGGCCCTCCCAGCTTTGCTGGCGGCCGTGGGGCCGACCTCTCTCCCCGCCGGCTGCCCACGGGCGCGGCTCCCGTCCGTGCCGAGCTGGCTCCTTCCGTGCGGGCGCGGCCGCGCTGGGCTCGGGCCGGGCCAGAGCCGCGGCGGTTCCGCTTCCTGCTCGCCCAGCCCTGGCCGAGGGGCGGAACCGCAGCGCGCGAGCCCCGCGGAGCGCCCCGGCCGCAGCGTCCCATTGGCCCGCTCCGGGCGGGAGCGAGGCCGGGGGGCGGGGCTGTGGCGCCAGCGTCAGCCAAACAGAGCGCGGCGCGGGGCGCGTGACGACAGTGCCGCGCGAAGGAAGGGGCGGGGAAGGCGGGGGGCTGGGCGAGGCGCGTGAATCGGGTGCTGATTGGCTAAAGGGAAAACCAATCGAGCGCCCCACAGCCAAGCCCTCCGGATTCGATTGGTCAGCGAGCGGGTAATTTGCATACGGCGGGGTATTTATTGCGGCCGGGGGAAGCAATGCTCTCGCACACCGGGTTCGGCGTTGCTCTGCCGTCTTCGTGCCTTTGCGCGCTGCCCCCGGCTCGGAGCTGCCCTCCGCCTTCTCTTCTCCTCCTCCCCTCCTCCCCCACGCTGCCGGCCCACCCGCCTCCCTCTCTCTGCGCTGCTCGGTGCGCTGCCCTTCCCTTTTTTTTTTTTTTTTTTAAACTTTGTGTCTCTCGTAGCAGGAAAGGATGCCTTAGTTTTCTCTTCTGAGGAAAGTCTTCGTAAGCTGAAACTTAGAAATCAAAGTCATAGCTATTTGAACCTCGTGATGGTATCTAAATTCTGGAAGACTGGGCTCCCATGGAGAGTTTTTCAACTGTGATGGTGAACTAAACTTGAACACACCTTGGGCTCTGCATCATAAACTGTAAATATGCTGTAAAACTTCTTTAGGAGTAAATAAGTGTACTGCTATAAATAGAATTATTTTTTCTTTAATCAGTGCTTTGTATTTAAATCTACTTTTTTTTGGTTTTGTTATAATCTGGCACAAGATTATATGGTTTATTTTTGCTCCTTGGCTTGGCCACAACCAAATTCAACAATATAGTCAGGATAAATTCAACAGTATAGTCAGGAAGTGATGGGTTTTGCGTCTTTAGTGCCACGTATTTCCATGATGCTTTTGCAGAGAGACATGGAGTTACGTTCAGTTCCGGAGTTGAAAGTTTCTGTTCTCTCTGCATGTAAATAACTTTCCATGCTTGAATAGCCCCATTGCCTCCGGTGGACTGTTAAGGTGTGAAATTGCTCATGTGTGTAAATGTTTATGAAAGAAAGGCTGACTGAAAAGGAGTTGGACAAGAGCTGAGAGGCAGGGGGTAGGGTGAGACGTCAAAAGACACTTGGACTTCCATTTGTTCTTTTTTGATCACAGGCCGTCCCCACTGCACAGCTACAAAATGTAAATAGTCTTCCGGTGTTTGTTGCCGTGGTTTTCTAGGCCAAACAAGAACATTAACTAGGATTCGTCTCACAGCCTGTGTATTTTAAGGTATGAATAACACATTGCACGTTTATTAGAAATAGAGTAAGCAAGGCAGAACTGTCCAGCAGAAAGAAACAAGTTAATACTTTATGTGGAGATGCTTTTAATTTTGCATCTAATTTGCATGATAATCACCAATTATAACATGGAAATACTTTTCTAAAGATCTTAGATGTAAAAACCACCAGTAAAATGGATGTTGTTCTGTATTTTCCTTTTAGGTAACTTAGAAGCTACTACATTTCATTCATAATTAATTTGTTCTTAAAAGGCTCTTAAATTGTTTATTCTGGCAAAAGATCTCAAATTATCTTTGTGTTGCTAAAGCAGTTCTTTCCCATGCAAGTAAGAAGATTTCAATGAAAGCACAGGCTGCTATTGTTAATCCCTTATTGCTTATGGAATAGGAAGCACCAAGTCATGCACCTTTACTTTTCTCTCAGTCTGTGAGGTCAAGCCCTTAGAGGAGGGGAGGAAATGCACTGTGTGCAGCTGCACTGCTGCAGCCTGTCCTGGGATTTTAGAGACTAACAGCTGTTAGGCATCTTTTACAGTAGCAGGGCATTGGAACTATATGATCTTTAAGGTTCCTTCCAACCCAAACCATTCTGTGATTATATGATTCTTTGAGTGCAGTACTCAGGAGGGAAGATGTTAGGATCCTAGGATGCCATGTTCATTTGTCTGTTTAGGATAGAAGCAGAGCTTCTATGTTGATTATTGAAGGGCAGGAAAATTTAAAAGCCTGCGTAAGTAGGGATATTTAGTTGAGTTATTGGGCAAAATTTTGTGTAACAGTGAACCAGACAATTCTGAGAGCTCTAAAGTGGTCACCTGAGCAGAGACAGTCAGTGGGTTATTTAGATTATTTTTATTACAGCCCAGAAAGGGATGATAAACTAGATGATTGTTTGATGCTCCAGCTGGCTGTGTATTTCTGACTCGATTGTACCATGTTGCAATCATTTCCTTATTAGCCTGGTTGTCTGAGAAAACAAGGCATCTGCATGTGGTCTGCCCAGATCCTCAACTTCCAGTCTGGTATCTCAAAGCTTCTGTGGGCACCGTGAGAACAGTCAGATGGGCAGAGGTAAGAGATGAATTGCTGACTCTGCTTCAGGAGTGGCACCTGAGTGAGCTGAGGGGGCTATTGCATGTCCAAGGATCCACCCTGAAGAGATGCCATAAATGACTGTGTCAGAGCTGCACAGAAGATAAAAAGCTCCAGGAAACAGGATTTTGTCAGTTCTGCTCCTCTGGTTATGGGTCTTCCTGGCTTATAGTAAGGTCTAAAGTCAGTGTTTTCCCTCTCTACCTGAAGCCTGCCTGTAGTTCTAAAAGAAACACTGTATTTCAGTGCAGTGTGCCTCCCACCCAGTACTTTTTCCTGCTTGCTAACAAGTTGGGGTTGTGGTGCCATTTTTTTTTCCCCCAGCAGAATCCCAATAATTTCTGCATATTTGTAAAAGGAAACTGTGATAAAAACCACATAAATTACATGTTACACGTGGCCAGCCAACCTCAGAGCACGCAGGAGCTGCTGGTCACAGGTGTACCAGGTGTGGCTGCTTTTCATCTGCACGGAAGTGTTGAGACTTCAGAGGAATTAGAAGTGACTTTAGACTGGACAGTGCTGTGGGGATTGGGTCTTGAATTGCCTGTTCTGAAGGTGTTGGGTAAACCTGGCTGTTAGGATTGGCTATAGGTCCAGTGTGGGCAAGGGCTGGGCTGTACCTGACCTGGGTCATACCTGGGGTGCTGAGGAGCATCCAAGGGAGGGCAACAAAGACGGGAAAGGGTCTTGATTTGAAGCTGTGTGAGGACACTGAGGACACTTGGTGTGTTCAGATGGAGAAGAAGAGACTGAGGGGAGACCTCACTGCAGTTCCAACTGCCTGAGGAGGGGCAGGCCCTGAGCTCTGCTCTGGGGGGACCAGGGACAGCACCCAGGGAATGGCTGGAGCTGTGTCAGGGCAGGGTCAGATTGGATGTCAGGAAAAGGTTCTTCCCCCAGAGGGTGGTGGTTGGGCACTGCCCAGGCTCCCCAGGGCAGTGGGCACAGCCCCAAGGCTGCCAGAGCTCCAGGAGGGTTTGGCTGATCCTCTGGGGCACATGGTGTGACTGTTGGGGATGGGCCTGTGCAGGGCTGAGGGTTGGACTCGATGATTCTTGTGGGTCCCTTCCAACTCTGCATCTTCTGTGAGGAGGTGCAGGGTGGTGCGAGGGCAGGGGCAGAAGGGCTTTGTGGGGTGTCTTCACTTAGATGTTACTAGAAAAAACAGGTCAATAACTTAAAAAGTTACCGAACTCCTTCCCCCCCTCACAAAAAAAAAAAAAATCTCTGAAAGAGCTGCCGAACTCCGGGAGGGCCGCTCGGGGCCGCCGCGGAACCCGCGGCGCTCGGCACTTTCCGCCTCTCTCCGTGAGTCTTCGGCCTCTCCCGCCGCTCCTCGGCCTCGCTCGGCAGTTTCCGCGCGTTGTCGGGGCAACGCGGAGCATCGCGAGGCGGCCGCGGCCTGTGGTGAGAGCGGGCGGGGGACGCGGCTGGACCGGGCCCGGCCCCGCCCGCGGCCGCGGGTCGGTCGCAATCGGTGGGAGGTGCGGGGCGGTCGGTCCCGGGGGCGGGCGGGTCCGCCCACGGGTGCGAACGTGGCGGCGGGGCACGCGTGTTTGGCCGTGTTTGCCCGCTCGGGCTTGGGGGTGCGCAGGGCCCGCTCTGGGCCGGCGAAGGGTGGCCACGGCCCGGCCGAGGGACCCCCGCGGGGCCCGGCCCAGCAGCGAGGGCCCGGCCCGGAGCTCCATTCCCTCTTGGCTGAGGCAGGACTCAAACAGGTTTTTACTCTGTCTATTTTACTACTTAGAGGAGACTGTATTTAGTCACTAACCATCTTTTTGTAGCACAGCACGGTTTTGTGTTGTTTCTGTTTTTCTGGGGCTGACTGTTTTGAACAATTTCAGGTTTAAAAGCCAGCGTTTCTTATAGATAGAGGTTTTAGGAAAAGCTTCTGCTTTTGCTTTAGTAGCTGTCGAGTCTTGTCAGGGCACTGTTGAGGCAACGCGGGC